GTAGCATTCTTGACCCCTAGTTTCCAAATAGGAATTAAATGATTCTGGAACAGATAATGTGTGACACAGTATATGGTGAATAAGAAAAACTATGATCTATCACATTGTAGTGCATTAGTGGGAATACTTCATGTTGGTTATTAATACTGTCTTGCTGATAGGTTAACAAGCGTGCAGGAAATTACTTGAAGGATGCAGGTTCTTAAGAAGGTTTTTGAGTTTCTTTTTGTTTGAGGTGTGGGGGTTTTTTTGTGAAATGTATATGACTGAGGTTTGAGCTCTGCTCAAATCGAGACAGGTTCTATTTGTAGAGAGTTAATGTATGTTCACAGAGGTAATTCTCGTGATGTCTATGTTAGTGTAATAGATACAAAGATTTTTTTCTTAAAATAGAGCAAAATGAGATTCACAGAGAACAGGAATCCCCATTCTCCTAATTCAAAAGATTCTGCTCCAAGGCAACTATTTCAGCTGAGTTGTTTCCTTGTGTCCTGTACTCGCAGGGAGCTGGACTGGAACTGTCGCTTGGGGGCAACTGCTTTCCTTCTGTCAGAATTTGCTAATACACTGTTTTCATTCTTCATCAGAACAGTGCCACACAATTTTCAGATCTCCTATGTCTATAGTCCACAGCAGTAAAGAGAAAAAGGAGGAAACTTCAAATTCTCTGCTCTATTTTAAATGTATTGATCTTATTAACAGTTTTTCTTATAAGTACTTAGAATTTAGGCTGTTTTCATAGAGCTTTTAAATTCTGCTTCTGATCTCTGTTGTTAGTGCTGCTAAAAAAAAAGCATTTGACTGCTGTTTTGCTTTCTAGTGCCATAATCATCCTTCTAAGTAAGTGTTTGTGCCATAGTACGTGGTTTTCTTGCAAAATGGAACTTGGAGATTGTTGGTTAAATCTGAGCCCACAATTAATGATAGTTCTGTGCAGACGGAAGTGACAGGCGCTGTACAGTAATGGTTTTGTCTGCATTTTACAGGGGAATAAAATTATTGCAGTTGAAACTTTCTTTGCGAGCTAGGAAAGAAGACAAAAAGCTATGGAGAAATGTCTGTTGAAAAAGCATGCTTGTTGTTAGCAAAGAAGTTTATTGTTAGATACGCTTTGTTAGTGTTTAGTTTTGTAGGGGCAGCAGAGGCGGTCACATTTTCTAAGAGGTAACAATTATCTGAATTATAGCTTAGGTTTTATGCAAATACTTTAAGGTAAAAGTAGCATATTTAATTCTACATATGGGAAATTTTTTGTTGCAGCTAATTCACTTATTCCCTCTGCCTGTGACTCAGTTCTGGCATTATAACCCATTTCCAGGCTTTCACAACTATTATTTTTGGCAGCTAATATTGCCCAGAGCTACCATCTCTCCTTAAACTTATCCAGATCAGGCATTAGTAATAAACCCCCTAGAACAAATAAAGCTAGATATGTAGGAATCAAAGATTCTAAGTCAACTAAGTCTTTTGCAAGCTTCAAACTAGAAAGCTTACAGTTTGGACAGTCCCGAAGCATGAGCTGGATTTTGTATAGGCAATCACATAAAGTGTCTCTGTGACTTTTTACTTCTAATATGCAGATGACGCCTTGAAACATACTGTCTCTTGCTCTGGTAGATTTCTTGACATATTACAACACAGTTAGGAAAAAATTCATGAGCAAAAATAAAGAGGAATAATCTTTTCAACATGCTTACCAGCCTGCTTTGATTGTGATATGTTCTTTCAGGCTACTCATACCGCTGAGTCCAGCAGTCATTCCTGCGCCTTTCCAAATTCTTCATGATTCGCGTAAGGAGGTTACCATCAAGTTCTTAAAAGGCAAATACACTATGTTAGTTTATACCAGAGCCTGTGGAGAATTTATTACTTTTTTATGACATAATAATTGTTTTGATCATTTTAGTTTACCATCTTTTCCTCCAGATAATTTTCAATATTTCTACCACCTACTGAGTGGGTAGAAATATTCTTTATTTTCAGTCTTTATTTTCAGTCTCTCTATATTACTTTCCTCTAGCCTTACTGATAGGTTTAGATTTTTTGTATTGTAGTGCCACTTATGAAATTCCTTTATTGTGCTCTTTAACTTGTTCTTCCAGCTCATTAATCTTAGTGGGAATAGAATTCATCACCTCTTTTAAAATGCCCACTACTTGCTATTCTGATCCAATTTTGTGAGATTCTCATTAGGAAGACTTGCATATTAAAAAAAAGCTTTGTTGTGAGATGTAATCTAAAAGAAATAAATATCCCAAATAATAGGATAGCTTTACAAGACTTTGTTACTCAACAACATTGACAAGAAAAGAGAACTTAGGTGTTGATAGGCAATAGGAAGTACAAGACCAGACCAAGGACTGAGATTTAAAGATATGCAGAAATAAATACTGCTGTATGTGGGAATATCTGTGCAACCATGAAAGGGTGCAACCTTTTGTCAGAACCTTTTGTAATGATATAATCCCAAGACTTTATGCTATAGGAAATATGCCAAGGATTGCAATAGTTGAAATAAAATCAAATGGTTTATCACCAATGGAGACTATGGAGGTTTAGAAAAGTGTGTGAGTGTCAATGACTCCACAGTGTAGTACGCAAGATAGTGGATGATGGAATTAACTGCTTATGTGTTCAGAGTTAACGTAGGGGAATTCCTTGGGTACATCCATAATTGAAGGGTAGGAACATTACTGTGGTATTGCAATTTTGAGTGTTTGTCCACTGGTATTAAAGGTTAAAATAATTCAACACGAGAAGTTTTGAAGAAATCTAAAACTCTATGGTGACACTAAGAGCAGAAAGAATAAATATAGTGTGACTTTGAAATACAGCTACAAACACAATAATGTAACATTTCATATTGCTGCTGTTGTGCACAGCACCATTGTAGAGTTAGCAACACAGAACCAAGACAGATGTTTTCTGGGTCATCAAGCCCAGCCTCCTCCCATCAGGGTAATGCTTGTTACTGTCTACATCTTATTAACAAATCATGCTTTTAAAAGCAGCTGCTATGAGCACCAAGGCTGTCCTCAAACCTCCCTATCTTTTTCTGTTAGGGTTTCTAGTCTTACACTTTACTCAGAGAGTAACTGTTTTGACCCATAGACCCTTTCCTTTATCAGCTGTTTCTCTCCTGAGGTGTCTGGGTAGAGCAGTCATGTTCCTTTTGTTTTCCTTCGTTTAGTCCTCAGCTCTGCACTGATCCCAGTGTGACTTAATACAGTCTTAACATGAAGAGTTGGAAATGGGTGCCATATTCTCGATGAGGCCCACTAGTGTCTTATACAAGTCAATTAATATTTGTCCCTTGCTTTTGGAAATATCTCGCCCAATGTATCTCAACATGGCATCATCATATTGTCTCATAATTTTCCAGCTGACATTTGCATATCTTCACCATTTCCCACTGAATATGCAGCTTATAAACAACTGTGTTGCTATTTTTACATATATGACATGTGCTTTTTGATGTTAAATCAATCCCTTTTTCTCAGACTGTAGTCTTTGAAATTAAATCAGCACTCCTGATTTATATTGCTATGCTACTCTATGTTATATACATTACTGGCATCAGAGTCTTGCTGGCAGTCATCAGACATTTTTTTTTCTTTTTTTTTTTTCCTTCATCCTGACCTAAAAAAAATTTAGTGACTGTCGTTGCTTTTTTCAATCTTCAGGTATCATTGCATCTTGACAGATGTAGTAAAAATCCATGTTTCAAGTTCTGTGGTTCCACATGTTAAATCTTCCAGAATTCTTTGGTGATTATTTATGTTCCTTTGCCCTCCCCAGCTTGAACCACTGAGCTCCCTGAATTTTCCTTCTTAACCTTCATGCCTGTTAATTAATCAGCCTGCTGTCACCTCCATGTGCATTATAGTCCTTAGGGAGTAACAAGGAAGAATACTTACAGAGCTTTTTCTAGCTGTGCTTAGATGTACTTGCATCTCTATCACATTCTTACGTTTTTCCTGGTTATTTATCCATGTATGTCTACACACAGACACAGAGGGATAAAAAAGGTAATAGTGCATACATATGCGTTCTTTTACTATTATTTGCTTTATGTCAACTTGACTTTTAGTATTTCTTGAGCATGTACAAGTGCCATAACTGGATTTCTGTATCTGAATTCTAAAATCTTTATATTTTACTGAGTTTACATTGGTTTTAAATTCATATTCTCATTCACTTTCATGCTATTACCAAAAAAGGGGGGGGGGGCAAGATACACTCCTTTAAAGTCTTTGCTTTTATTAAAATTTGTTTTCAATTTTCTTTAGAAATGTCTCTAATAGCATTCTCTCCAGTTCAGTGATGCATCCAGGAATAATCCAAGTGGGTTATTTACAGACTTAAAATTAGGGATGTGATTAAACTGGAAGCTACTATGTATTTATTGGGTTTGTTTTTTCAAAGTCACACAGTTGCCTAAATAGTGTATTCCATGAAAGCAAAGATTATGTGATTTCAAGTACTTCATGGTTTGTCCCAGGATTTTTATTCATCTGTTGGCCGACCACAAGATATTGTGTTGCCCGTCATAATTTTTACTCTGCACCTTTGATCACTTTAATATGACAATACGTGGGTAATTAATAAATGTATATTTTGTTATGTAAAAGAGCTAGTTCATGCAAAAAAAAAGTAATTATGATTAGAATGTCCTTGATACTATGATGTGATGACATCTGATGGATTTTTTTTGGCTGCAAAATACAAATAATGGTTAGTTGAGTTGTCTTTGTTATTCTTGGGTACTGTGAAACAAGTAGCTATTTCTGTACCTAGTAAGAGAAAGTCTGAAGTTCTAAAAACATTTTAATTTAAGTCAGGACAGCACAGAATCTGAGTAATGGTTACAATTCTGATTTTCTATATGACAGCTTTTTTTTTTTTAGTTTAGTTAGTTTTGCACTTTTAGCGTGTACAGTAAATCCCATTATATTTGCAATCAAGCATAAAGTAATTATGCCTTGTCCCTTTTATCACAGATTCCTTGCAGCTTGGAGTACTGGGATGAGCTTCAGAAATCATTTGTTGCATTCCGGGAATTCAGTCTATCAGAAAGCAAAGTCTGTGAACTACAACTGCCCAGTATCAACCTTGTGAATGATCAGAAAGAGCTCATAGCCTCCGATCTGTGGAGGATTGTCCTGAACAGCAATCAGAATGTGGCTGATGACCAAAGGTAATTTTAAAGGAGGACAGAAAAGCAGAAATTTAATGCTACACTCTTGAGAGATCTTTTTCAAGAGACTTAGGAAATAAGATACTGTTTTCATATGCGATAAGAGTAGCTGGTCTTAAATGAGCTTCAGACTGTAGTTCACCTTCACGCAAGGGCATGGATTGTGCACAAAAAGAGCGCTCTCTCAGATTTGTAAGCAGCCTGGCAGCATCGCATTCATCATTTTTCCGAACACAAGGATTACTGAAAAGTGAAGACAAACAGGCCATATCCTGTAACCTCTTAGCTGCACAAGGCAGTAAAATTAGTAAAATTCGTTAACAAATGAAGGCTGAGGTGCAATCCATCGTATAACATAGTAGTAAACATTCTTCTTCCATGCACCCCCCCATACACCACCTTTATTCTGTCCTTAGTGCACATCAATGACTAAAATAAGCCAAATGTCTATTTTAAATAGATTAAACAAAACTTTAGTACTTCAAGAGCATTACGATATTATTCATACAGCTTGCTTACTGTGCTAACAGTAAAAAAATTTAATTGATGTCTTCAAACACTGGGGATCCATTTTTCATTATGTTTGCAGCTGGAAACAATATACAATGACAGATATTCACTCTATTTGCATTCATTCAGTTTTGGTTAATACGTAGAGTAAGAAGAAATGACTACAAGTTCTCTCCACAAACAGCAGTGGAATTGCTTTCAAAGACCTACTTAACATTTTATAGTTAGAGCAGAAAACCCAGAATGACCCTGTTGGATCATGGTATTTACTGATTGTTGCTGCCTGTGTATGAACACACGCTTGAATGAGTATGTAGCATCTACATATATGTTATGTGAAGCTACAGAATTCAGAGAAATCAGGAAATATGAACATGGCTAACAAAATCAATGAAGAAAATTAAACATCTGGTTTCCATTAATAGTATCAGGTTGGAAATGATTTCTTGATGTTAATTGTGAAAGAATGCATTTTCATCATTGAGAAGTTAAGTGTTTTAGACAAGGTTAATTCCTTTGAATGTGGGACCTTGGCAAAATTGCCTTCCTGGTCAGCTTAACACCACAGAAATGTGAACTCGGTGGGAACTGAAAATGAAGTAGTGAAATTTAGTATATTTTTTTCATCAAGGCATTTGGCACTGTAGTCATGTTTATTGTTTTCTGCTCAAACAGGGTTCATCATTATATGCAATGTTTCATTCAGGGAGCTCTGATAAGCTAATGAGTTGTAACCGTTCAGAAAGAGGCTAGGGTTAAAATGTAATACAAATAATTAAAAAAAGAAATACAAAACCAGTTTGGACTGTGATTAACATCAGAAACATTTTACAGCACAACATGAATTCACTTGCTTAGAAGGTCTAAACTTGTGAATTTTCAGCTCGGAGGCTGCAGACCTGCTCCACGGTAGTGACCATCCTCAGTGGTATCAGGGTGTCAAGTTATAATAGGGTAGAAATATCCTAATGGCCTTGAGGTACCAGAAGAGTCCACAGAAGACAATTGCTTATTACAAGCACTATGTCCTCCAGATTATGTGTGTATACAAAAAGCTAAAGCAGAAACTACAACTGAAAGAACAGGAATTAAACTGAAGCATTAGCAGTTCACTGAAAAGGGAGAGCAGGAAAGGAAAGAAGGCAGCAAAAACCATGTGCCACACTACTGAAGCATTTGAAGGTCAGTAAGCAGAGGAGAAGGAGGGAAGTCAAGGGAAGGTATTACAAACTGCCAGTTCCTTTGGCATGTGCATGGAGACTGCAGAGTCACTACTCCTGATACTTTCAGTGGCCTGAGGAATTTATAATAGTTTTAAGAGGTGTAGTTTACACCTACATGAACTAACAGTAGACTGGAAAGTTAAAGGTTCATGTAGGTCAGGCTGAACTCCATCCAGAAGCCAGAAACCTGAGGAGTACAGGAGGAAAACCTCCGATTTCAGTCAGAGAAGAGAAAAGATAATATTCTCTGCCTCAGCCACAGTTTCAGATAGAAATTCAAACTGAGCTCTCTTTATACTAACTTCAAACAAGCTTTCTGAACAATGACTGCAGGAAGGACTGATGTGAAAGTAGTCCTGACCAACCTGGAGTAATCCTTCTCAGAGAAACTTAATGGGTCAGAAAAAGAGCAGCTGTTCCTCAGAGATGAGGCTTTGACCTATGGTGTTTGAGCCATACTGTCTCTTTCTTGGAGACAGAGCAAATCATGCCAGTCACATGTCACTGACCTGGAGATTTTGAGACAGTTCACAAGCACTGAAATACATATAGTTACAGCTACAGAACAAATTTAAGGTGATGGTTAAGCTCCAAAGGATCACGTTCTGCTAAAGGGAAGCCTTGTTTAGGAGATGGTGACAGATACTGTGGGCCTGCAGAGAAGGCCAACATTTCGAGACCCCTAATAGCATAGGAAGTCCATGTTGGCAGTAACTGCTGAAATTGTGGCTCTATCTTCGCCAAACAAACATTGCTATCAGTATGGGTATATTCTTGTCACCAAGCATCCTAAAATCTATTCTGGATTCTACTTGACCAAAAAATCCCAAGCTTTTTGGGTTTTGAGAGAGAGACTGCCCCATGTCATAGTAAATTTCAATGTTAGGCTTATTCCTAAAGCAAGCGTTTAACATGAAATCTTATAGACTTGTGAGAAGAGCTACAAGGAACTATGCTTGAAGCCAGTGCTGAGTGTTAGACCAGGGAACTTGAAGGCTGCAGGATCTGCGACTGAGAGTGAGAAGTGAAGACTCTATAAAAGTTGAATCTCGGTTTTCCTGGAGAGTCACGATGATTTGACATTAATTACATGCTGTGACTGTATGATTGATTAGCAAATTTAATTCACTATTAATTGTAAAGTATAAAAATGCTTAGTCTTATTGAAGTTTATTTTCATAGTTTGATCTTGTATTTTGGGTCAGACTCTAACAGCTGCCATATGCATGCAGCTGCTGCTCAGTGATAATATTTTTTTCCTTCAAATTCTGCAGGGGGTTTTTTGTGGTAACCTCTATGATATGCTAATTAATAATACCAGAGAGCTGATCCCTTGTGGTTTAAGTACTTTATTATTGATTCCTAACATCAGTTATGAAGTATGAAACTTATGTGGCTCATGTGACAGGAAAACAACAAGGTTTTTGATAAGATGTGGATCCAGCTGATATGCTGAGCAATAACTGGCAGGCTGAAGTATATCAACCAATAATGAATATGGGAATATGCAAAGATGTTATGATCCAAATCCTGTGTATGCAAGCTCTTTCTGAGATTGATCAGGAAGTAATTAGAAGTATAAAAATCAAGGAGCTATCTGGTTAAGGACATAGTATATATGTATATGTTGTTTATTTTTAAGAATTTTGTAGACCATTCATTCAATGAATGAATAAGGTTTGAATGAACATTTATGAATGTTTATTCAATGAATGAACAAACCTGAAGTTCTAAGTGAGATAATTTAGCATCCCCTTGGGAATTTAGTACAGTGTCTGTGGAAGGAATCATATATGGCTTAAATGACTGTTTATGGAAGACCTTAAAATAGGGGATTAAAAGGAAATTATCATAGAATAAATTATTTTTGTAGGTTGCATTTTCGTAGAGTAGAATCATGGAATAATTTAGGTTGGAAAAGACCTCTAAGATCATTGAGTCCAACCGTTAACCTAACACTGCCAAGTCCACCACTAAAACATGTCCCTAAGCACCACATCTACACAGCTTTTAAATACCTCCAGGGATGGTGACTCAACTGCTTCCCTGGGCAGCCTGTTCCAGTGCTTGACAATGCTTTTGGTGAAGACATTTTTCCTAATATCCAATCTAAACCTTCCCTGGCACAACTTGAGGCCATTTCCTCTCATCCTATCGCTTGTTACTTGGGAGAAGAGACCAACCCCCACCTGGCTACAACCTCCTTTCAGGTAGTTGTAGAGAGCAATCAGGTCTCCCCTCAGCCTCCTTTTCTCCAGGCTAAACAATCCCAGCTCCCTCAGCTGCTCCTCATAAGACTTGTGCTCTAGACACTTCACCAGCTTCATTGCCTTTCTTTGGACACACTCCAGCACTTCAATGTCTTTCTTGGAGTGAGGGGCCCAAAACTGAACACAGTACTCGAGGTGGGGCCTCACCAGCGCCGAGTACAGGGAGACATTCACTTCCCTAGTCCTGCTGGCCACACTGTTTCTGATACAAGCCAGGATGCTGTTGGCCTTCTTGGCCACCTGGGCATACTGCTGGCTCATATTTAGTCGTGTTGCAGGTCTAGCAAATTATAATCAAAATTACTTTTATTTAAAGCTCTGGTTGGTTGGTGAGACACTAAAGCCCCTCACTGATTTGCTTGGGAGGGGTTTATCGTTCTTTGTTTAAATGGATTATGTTACAAGATGTTTTACATGTTTGTGCATCTCCTACGTAATGTAAACAGTATTTTTATAATTACTGACATACTAACGTGAAAGAGTAATTGAAAATGCCTTAAAATACAAACCATGAAACAAGTACAAAAACTTTTAAATAAGCCTTAAATTGCTACTTTTTAAAAATTAAAGTGAGGAATCATGGTCATGTTTCTTGCTAATTGTTATAGCTTTTATTCAAAGTAGATGATGTACTGGATTTTGACCTCTAACAATTTGGGTTCAGACCAGCATTTGAGTCATAAATTAAATGAGTTAAGTAGTCTCTTTCTTCTTCCCAGTGGATATTTTCCCATGTTGCGATTTCATCATAAATGGCAGTTTCGGTTTAAATATTCCACTCTTAAAATAACAAGAATAATGCAGGTCACTGTTAAGTCATTGATCCCAGTTGCCATATATTTAACTTGAACTGCTTTGCATGATGTGAAACTATCATACTCTATAATATATAATGACTTTGAATGGGTTTTTTTACATTTTAAAAATTCTGATATTCCACAGGATTAAATAATAATAATAATAAATTTTTTATATTAAAGTCAGGTCAGTTTTATTTAGAATTTCCTCTAGTTTTGCTACACCCATCCCGTGGCATGTTGTACCAAACACAAAGGATTAGAAGGTGGTTATTCCTGTTCTCCCAGCTGAAAAGTTATGGACAGTCCACACTGCATTTTGTAGCTCCAAAGCAGCCAAGAGAATGTGGGACTTTTTTGATATTGTATTCATTTGATGCAAAAATTTTGATTTCACAATCAGATCTACCTCTGATATTAACGCTCCTACTGCTGTTCACCAAGACTTAACAGGAAGTTTTCAGCTAACACTGCTTTATTTTCTGTTTGCGCATAGCATGTGATGAAGGACTGTGTCTTTGATTTCTGTGCTTTATGCAAGGTGAAAGGAGAAAGTAGCCGTGCTAAACATGTTACGGAAATCTACCTATGCAAAAAGCTTAAATGGGATTTGATTTAATTTAAAATCAGAGGGTCATGGTAGTGATTGTAAGGCCTACAGTCCCTCTTTAAAAACTGTTCATGATATTATGGTCTCTTATTACAGTTCTTTTTTAAGGTAATACTTTAGTAATTTGGATGCTGCTTTTAGAATATTTTGTACTGCAACTGGATTTTACTGTTACTGTATTTTTATTTTCATAACAACATGGGGACTGTAATTCTGGATGTGGCTTCTGGTTGAGTAAAAATCAAATGGACTCCTTCACAGATTAAACAATAACACTTGAACAAAGCCTGGGCAGATAGGCAAACAGTGATGAAAGAATCCTTATTGCATTTCTTTTCAGAGGATTTCTAGAAGGTGATCTCCTCTCTGTAGAGCGGCTTTCCCTTCTAAAACATGGTTTAGCTCACATTGTCCTGCTCCTCTCAGTCCTCCACTGCCAGCACTTGTCCCTCCCTAGCACAGGAAGGGATGCAAGGCCAGTTGTGTCACAGGGAGCAACCTTGTCCCACACTTATTTGCTGTTTCTCTCTGGTTAGTTTTTTAAGCATGTGGTTGGACTCTGAAGTTTGTTAGGGAATCGTTTCAGTTTCTTAGAAACCTTTTTGGTTTCTAAGGTGACTCTCCATGAGGAAACAAAAAGTAGTTTTGAATCTTTTTGTTCCCAACATTTTAAGTTCCAGAATATAGATTGGATATTAGAAAAAATTTCTTCACCAAAAAGGTTGTCAGTCATTGGAACAGGCTGCCCAGGGAAGGGGTTGAGTCACCATCCCTGGAGGTATTTAAAAGATGTAGAGATGTGGTGCTTGGGGACATAGATTAGTGGTTGAACTTGGGCAGTGCTAGGTTAATGGTTGGACTTGATGATCTTAAAGGTCTTTTCCAACCAAAACGATTATATGATTCTGTGATTACCTCCGCTTGGTCTGCTGATTGTGGGGCAGAAAAATTGGAGCAAAGTAGGGCTAAATGCTTTAAATGCTTTCCCTGATGTGAAGCTCCTGCCACATTTCCTCCTGCATCAAGCATGTCATGTTGCCCTGTAATCATTGTGGTTATGAGTGAGAAATGACAAAGGTCCCATTGCCCTAAAATGCTCAATAAATAAAAAGCAGGCATATAAAATTTGACTAAGTAAGAATTTGGAGGGGGTTGTTTATTTTTATTTTATGAAAATATCCATCTCCAAAAAACATATCTAGTGACTCAAGTAATAGGTTTCTGAGGAAAAGAAATCTATAATTTCAGAACGAACCTCAAATTTCAGAAATAAATGCCGTTCCTTTTTACTGCAGTTATTGTTATACCTGTTTGTGCAAATTAAGTCTTAATTCAGAATATCAAAGTGTAATTACCATACTAGCTAGTTACCATAACACAAAATAATACTGATAAATTTACCTATCCATGGAATTATAGGCATTTGTAGCTGAACATTTTGAATACCTACTATATTTGTGCATAATTTTGCAGTAACACAGACAGAATGATGAAAAATTTGGTCCTAAAAACATAAGATATGTTGCTTTGAAAGCCAATAATCAAATTTAAACTTGTGTTTGAATTTCAAATATCTTTAAAATGTCAGTGGAAATCTATTCACGGTACTTTAAAAAAGCTAGTTACTTTCTGATAAAAATAGTAGGCTGACCTTAGTTAATCCTTTGCTATTTTCAAAATAAAAACAGTATTGGACTGAGGACATGGACTTAGTTTTCTTAAATCAATTCTATGCTTTTAAACTAAAACTTTTTAGTGCCAAACTGCAAAGGGAGTAAGAATAAGGAACATTAAGGATAGATTTGGCTTAAATTAGAAAGTTTATTTGTACTTCAGTGATATCTTAGCAACCTATAGAATTGTGATGTAGTGTTAGTTTCTCTCAAGAGACTGAAAGACAATGCTTGGAAATTCATGGCATCAGGAGCATGGCTAGGAAAAAAAAGAGAAATCAGTGGGGTGGCATTTTAAATGTTTAGTTAATATGTTGTAATACGTGCTAGTAAAAGGCTCCAGGCTGAGCTTATAACACACGGAGATTCTTTCTAAATGATGACTGCAGAATGAGAAGGGCAAAGGAAAGAAAGCTTACAGGGACGGGGTTTATGCGTAGTAGTTCGATGGTCCTGAGTTGGTTTCCTTAAAATAAAATGAAAAAAATCATTCTCTTGACCAGATTACTTTTCAGCTTATTCTTGTAGCTATAATAATGTTAATGTACTCTGTTTACCTATTTCAACAATTAAAGATACCTGATATATTTTGGTTTTATTTTCTGTAAATATGCTTCACTTCTGTGATTAAAGTGTTTCAGTTTGTAAATTGAAAGTGTGGTGTGATAAAAGCATTGTTGGATTGCAGTCCTGTCTGCTACATTCTGCTTGGGAAAAAGTACATTAACATTAGCGCTTAAAAGAAAACAGTGACGTTGGCTGTGTCAGAAAACCAACATGGCACATGATGAAGTTCTACTGTAAAGCGATAAAATGCTGGAGGTGCTAACTTCTGCTTTGTTATCTACCTTCCGCAGCTCAGAAAGTGAATCTGGCTCACAAAGCGCGTGTGATCAGCTTGTAACCCCCACAGCATTAGCAGCCTGTACCAGAGTTGATTCCTGTTTTACTCCTTGGTTTGTGCCATCACTAAGTGTGTTGACCCAATTTACTTATTTGGAAGTCCACCTCTGCCATCATCTTGATCAGCTGGGCACAGGTATGTACACCTTTACGTAGAATAATAAAAGCATATAGTTCATACGTGCTGCTTAATGGCTGGTTTGCTTTCTGTAGTCCCCATTTCCTCATTCAAACGGGCATTCTTGAAATAAGTTATCACCAACAGCCATCAGTGGTACAGACTTCAGGGTAAAACTGATGACTTACATACGGTAGGCAGTGGGACTGGCTGATCAGCCCCCTTCCTCTGGAATGGGTAACTGTAGAAACTGTCCCATTTTCGTGGTCTGATTAGTGACAGCAGGTGCCACTTCAGTTTTGAGCCATCTTAGTGAATGAATTTGATCTTTTAAGTTTTCCAGCATATTAACAGCGCTATTAAAATATTTGAAGATTTTGCAACACCCTTAGTAAGAATTCCTTGGAAGAGCTCTGAGAACTGCAGATTTAACTGTTATTTCAATTACGATCACTTTTGGAGCTACATCTGGTTTTGTTCAGTGCTCTCTGTCATTGCATTAATGGCAAATACATTCCAAGAGATCTTTAGATTATTGTCTGATTTTCAAATGCCAGGAATGCTTTCCGTGGAAGATGAGCAAATATCTTAGATAATTTTGACAGGGACAGCTAGCTTCGTGAGTAGTTTTTGTGTTTCTGCAAGTGTTATAGTATTTTCATTATCAAATCATACCAAGACTGACACTCAACGTCTAGCAAATTATTTCTTGTCTATCAGCTACCTCTATCAGTACATAATCTTCCTCACTATTACACTCCAATTCCAGATGCTTGATCTTTAAAATTACATGTACTGGAAAAAAGCAAAAATCAGATTAAAATCAAACCCAGCTGTTTCATTTTTCAACAGTGACTGAGTTTATGCTGATGCTGCTGTTGTTCTTGTTATAGCACCTAAAGTCCTTGAGATTTGGGGCTCCATTGTGCTATGTTGTATGCAAAGGGAGCCCAAAACTTACTGTATCCATTACACTTTTGTAGAATAATAGGGCTTGATCCTGGAAAGTGATGAGTGTTTTGCTTCCAAATCTGTAGAGCACTTGAGCATATGCTAATTTTAAGCATGTGAGTAGTTCCAGCAACATAAACAATAACATCAATGGAAATACTCGCATGCTTAATGTTACACAAGTGGTGTACTTTCCTTGCAGTGTCTCTTGCCACAGTGCTCAGCACTTTGCAGGACTGAGGCTTCAGTGAACACGATAAAATCTCTTTTATGATATATTTCTCATGCTTTAGTCTTGGGATATTCTTTTGTTTAATTTCTAGTATTATGGGGTAATATGTCACATCTCAGTGGGTTTGTGGTCTTGAACTCTCTGTAATTGCAGCAAAGACAATTTTCGTTATGGAACCTGTTAGACCGCACAGTCACATGTCAGCAAATATTATATTGATAATTTTTATTGTATTCGTAATGTCCTATATGTGGAATATCATATACATCTACTACAGCAAAAATTCTCACAGAAATATGGTCTCTGCTCCAAATAGGTGGCAATCAGAAGTATTGTGCAGTGTGTAGGTAAAGCAGTTTGGCTGGCTAATCTATTTACCATGAAAAGATTTTGGTTTGCAGCTACTTTCTGTTTGCAGCTGCAATTAATTACAGTTCTATTTTACATATAATAAATAGTATGAACAGGATTAATTTCAGAAATGTCAACTCTTTTATGAATTTTACTTGTTTTCATCATATGTACAGCAGTTAAAACACAATTTACAAAAACATACAGAATGTGGCAATGGTGATGTTCTAGTCTTGTTTGTTCTTTTACTTTTCAGCACCACCAAAGTTTCTTCAGCCATTTTTATCTGATAAGAACATGCCATCTGAACTAGAATACATGATAATTTCCTTCGATGAGCCTCATGTGTATCTTCGTCGGTGGAGCGATGAGTCGATGTTCCAGGAGATCCAGTTTTCAACTCAAGCGGACTGTAAACTTCTGGAGTGTCGAAATGTGACTATGCAGAGTGTTGTGAAACCTTTCAAAATCTGGGGGCAGATTGCTATTTCCTGCGGCACAGTGGAAAGGCTGTTGGACTGCACGATAATGGTGGACCCCATTTTCATCAACTTTGGCCAATATGCGCTTCATTCTCTAAATACAGCAATTCAAGCTTGGCAGCAGGTATGCAAATACAATAGTGAGAAAAAATGTAGCTATTGTGATTTATTTAATAGCAAATTAGAATGCCAACTGCATTCATTAAAAATATTCCAAGATGTAAAAGCTTTAATTTACACTAGAAGTGTTTTTTACTAATAAACATTGATTCCGTGATAGCAGTGAAAATTAGGAGACAATGAATGTTCTATGTAAAGGTAAATGTAGCTAGAACTGCTTGAGTTTCAGTGAAACTACATGGATTTATATCAGAACAATCGGAATCTTGGTCTTGAAATGCATAATATTCCATTAATTTATGAAAAGGTGAGTGGTGCATGCTATGTAAGCACAGCTCAGTCTGAGCGGTAGAGCATATTGTTTCCAGCTACTATTTCTGTCCTTATTGAAGTTCAACACTAGTTTCACATTTCATTCTGTGCAAGAAGTAGTAATGGCTGAAGCCAGTTCCAGCGTAAGGAACCTTGCTTCTGCAATGACCCCTCGAAGGCCTGTAATTCCCTTACTCCACTATAGCCTTGAAATCAAATCATTCTCTTCGTCTGCCTGAAGACCTATGTGGAGCCTGGGAATTAATTACCTATCATGGCACTACAATAACAAAGCCCCCAAAAAAGGATAAAACATCTGTTTTATATCAAAAAATTCTTTTTTAAGGGCATTCCATGGTTTTCTTGTTGCAAAAGGACATTCATAAAACAAGATCTAGTGTGATTTAAATCTTTACAGTTGGCTCAAATATCAATGTGAACAAAAATCTTTGTAGCTCCAATTTCTGTTTTTTGTCATATTTTGAACAATGCTTTTAATAAAAAACAAACATAGAAAGTATAAGAGAGTCCTTGGTAGGCTGTTTAAACCCAAAATATTTCTGACTTAGTACTAGTCCCTCATCTAAGACATGTGTGGCAACTACTGCAAAATGGCCTTCAGAAAGGTCAGTTTCCTCTTAGGATGGAAAAAAAGAAGATCTCTCAGACATAGCTATACATATAAATAAAATATGGTGCATAAATATTTAAATGTTTTAAACCACATCACAGTGTGAATGACTGACTGACTACTCTGTGCCTTGAAGGAATATTCTGAGTTGAAAAAATGGAATTGTATATTTGATTAAGTAGAGCCATATGTCGCACAGTATATTGCTGACAGGTACATTTTATGAATAGTTGGTACTGATTTATACATGGATTTGGCAATGTTAACATGAGCCACAGGAGGATATACTTCTGTAATTGTTGCTGTAATTTTCTCGTTTCCTCTCATGTCAAGGGTACTTGCCACCATGTTCTGATGTGGTGGGTATCTAGCCCTGAGTATTCAAGATTAAAAACTTGCATCGCTTTGAAATTAGGGAACAGTTAACACACAAGTGGGTTCAAAATGGCTTATTAAATTAATTGTTACCAAGATGTTTTGTATGTGGCTTTACCTCCAGATTGGGGGGGTGGCACGCACTGCACAGGGAGGGAATGAATTTCCTAATGATAAGCAGTTTGATGTTTGCTGTTCACACAAAATACAATATAAATGCTGCCAACTAGAAGCATGAATTTAATAAGCAGGAAAAGTTATTTGAATTCTCCACATATTTTTTACTGGATTAATATCTGAACCAAGTGATGTTGCAGTCAGTGGACAGACGGATGAAGCATGAAACAATTTGGCCCTGCACCTTTAGGTCAAGAGTTCAGGATTAACAGAAGCCTCTGTCAGTAGCTTTGTTTTCTAGATATGGACTGATTTTTTTTGTTGTTGTTTGTTTAAGTAATGATGAACATTTTGAAAGTAGATTAAACCTAAAAAACACTAGGCATACAACTTGCTTTATAGTCACATGCTGAAAATCTGAGAGGATTAGCACTTTTTAAAAACAGTTTCCCTTTTTGACATATTTCACTGTCTAATCTGAAATCCCTGTTTAAATACAAGCAGGAACAGGCTAATGCACATCTAAATGCAAAGCTAAAGTAATGGTTTTAATAATCAAATAACTGCTCAGGGAACTTCAAGATTGTTATTAATTTACTTTTATTATTTAATGATAGCATACAGAGTATCAAGTGAGAGAAAATGCATGTCTCCTGTGAATATACACAGGGAAGGATGTTGGGGTTTTCCCCTTTATTTGGGCATTTAAGCTTTCACAAGTTGTTTTACAGCATTAGTGCTTTGTGATACCTAGAGACACAGGGTCAGCTGAGAAAACATCTCCCCAGGTATGGTACCAGTGAGTATTCCTGGGAAAAAAAATACTCCTTTGTGGTCTCACACTGCAAATGTTTTCCTAAACTCCTCAGAAGTTATAAAAGCTCTGGTTTAAACCTGTTTTAAACCATTAGAACTTCTTTTCCTCGAGGTCCGCATGGTGCTTAACCTTTCTGTTGGCAGTTGCGTAAGTTTTCTTAATGAGCTGGGATCAGTCAAAATGACATCTGTGATCACAGGAGTTTCCCCATCTTTCTACCACAAGCAGAAATAACAAAGGAAAAGAGTACAGAAAGTTTGCATGTAGCTTCGATTTAACTTTCTAGCTGATAATGTCAGGATACTGCCATGAGAATAAAGTTTAAACAGTCAGAAGGAAAATGTTCTTTTCTCTTAGAGGAACTTTGAGGGAGATAAGAAATTGCTAAAGACTTTCTGTCCAAAAACTTTACTAGGTACAAGAGAGAGTGTGTGTATGTATGCATGTGTGTATGCGTGTGTGAGAAAGAGAAGGCTTGCACAGGTCTTCGGTAGCTTGTGAAGCACACAGAAAATAACTTTGTGCATATAAAGACCCCTAGACTTTTATGGGGGTTTTTTCCAGATCCAGAAATGCTTTGAAATAGCTGTGAGCCAAGACGTGAGCAGAAAGTCCTGAGACAGGGAAAGCCTGGTGACTAGTATTATGTTGGATGTTTTTCCCCTCTCTGAATAGAATTCACAAAATATCTGAAAGCCCAATAAAGGAGAAACACTTTCCAGGCTTCTCTGAGAGAAAAGAACAGCTGAAAAATGATCTAAAGAGGGGCAGGAAATTGTCCCCCAGGAACTGACCCTAATCTGTATCTGATTCAGGCTGTTGATCGTTTGCGGATTCTTTTGATTTGCTGTTTTAATTCAGAGAGGGAATTTTTTTCCTAATCCACACTTAGGTGTTTTCAGCTCCTGGAGTCATCATTCAGCCCTTCAGCATCTTTGCCACACAAATGGCCCAGTTCTATTTGTTTTTATGATGTCTGGTTTCTCTACCCTCTCTTTTATCAATCAAGATTTCCTCACTCCATCCTTTTGCTGATTTTTTTTTTTTTTTTTTTGTCCCTTTCTGCTTACCCTGGAAGCTTCTACTGTCAGACTCAAGGAATGAATTTGGGATCCAGTTCCCTGTGATGGGTGCAGGGAGCTGCTGCAGCTCTCCAGGGACCAAGAAGCATAGGTGGTACTCTGTCCGGGAAAAATCTCCTTTGTTTACTGTAAGGAGAATAAGAGTTGCCTAGAACTCTGCCTGTGCAGTGCGTAGTTGCCATACTGAGCTAAAACATCCCCAAGCTTCCTGGATGATCCTTTAGTCAGCTGTTATTATCAAGAATTGAGGCACTAGTAACTCGCTCTTAAGTGTGGCAGAATGGAGCAACACCTTATTATTCAAATCTTGGTGTTTCCTTGGTTAAAATTTTGGACCTGCTATAAAATTGAGTTTAAAATACCTCTTTTGCTTAACTTTGAGAAGCGTTGCTGTTAAAAGCAGTGGATTCTAGTAGCAAATCTAGCATTAAGACAAATCATTAATGGCAGTCAGTCATCAGTACCAAAATGTGTGCAGGTCTATTAGTAATCCCTGATGGGATAACATTCCCCCAGTACAATTTAGGAGTTCTATGCATGCCAAAAGCTTGCTAGATTCTCTTTTCCCTCCGGAAAGTGCAAGAACTTAGAGTTTCTGTTAATTTACTTGAAAATAACTTAATCAGGTAAAAATAGGGAAGTTCATCGTCTTCTGGTGTCCTTCCAGTCTGTGTGTTATCAGCAAGAAAATGTATTGGAGTTAAAAAAAAATTTCTTAAATTCCCCTGGGCATATATCTAGGTTTGAATATAACAACATGCTGAGCTCTGTGGATAGTAAATTCTCTCTTTTAAAATGAACATTTTGCAAAGCTGTAACAGGAAAATATATGTATTTGTGGTAGACTTATGGGTATGTGGGTATGGCAGCTTGACAGTAAAAAGTCATAGATCCACCACTAGAAAATGCCAAAATAAACTATGCACTCTGAAGTGGCACTGTAAATGTCAGCCTTTAGCCTACCCAGATCTGCTACTGAATGCAATACAGACATATTGCTCTGTAATGAGTTTTACTGCTTTGAAAAAGTGAGATTTTGGTTATGCTCGCCTGACTCTTGTTTCACAGAAGGTACCTGATCTTATGCAGAAGAATTCATGAGATTTGGAGAGAAGCTTTAATCTAAATATTCTCATGCTTAAATACTCCTAGGGTGAATAATTTTTTGCACAAACACTCCCAACGAACCACTCTGACATTCGGTCACAAAAGGAATCACAACCTGCACATTAGGTTCTTGTGAAGTTAATGATGGTAGTGAACACGCATTCAAGGATGCTAAATCGGACATACCTTGCACACTTCACTTTTCAGAAAATCTGTTCCACGTGTATCACCCAGCAATGTGCTACAAGCAGCGTACCAAACTGTTTTTCATGGATAACTTAAGGATCCATAGGGATCTATGAGGAAATATTTTTCTCTCTCTTGTTTGATCTCTGAATTTCTGCAGGTTTCCAGGCACATTGTTATCAAAGAACTAGAGACCTGTATGATCATAGACAGAGGAGGTGCTGGCTTCATTATGTCCGTTTAAAAGGTCCACTGAGAGCAAGGAGGGGAAACAGAATCAGCTCTCAAAGACCATGGAGGTCCCATAAGTTAGAGAAAACGTCATGAGAAGAAAGGATGAGAACAGAGCAGCTGGGCTATATTGTGGGGAAAAGGGAACCAACCAGCAATAAAGCATTGTCAAAAGTGTGTGCTAGGAAAGACGGGTCAAAAAGAGGTAACGAAAAGTGCAGGAAGATGAATTCTTTGTGTTATACCCATTAATTGCATGAAGACTATCTAAATGTTGCTTTCTTGGAGTAGTTATTATGGTTGCTAGATAGTTGCTTGTAAGTGGAAGGTGCCAGCCCAGTAGTGACTAGAACAGAAATATGTGAGAGAGAATCTCCACATCAAATTGTCGGTCACACTTTGACCTCTCCCATATAGGGGATTATAGTTTGTGCCTTCAGGGGCGGAAGACCTGTAGCTCTGGTAGTTTTTATGACTGTTGTATAGTCTCATTGTGTCAACAGAGTGACAAGCAGCCAGGTGAAAAGCAGAAAGAGAGGGATGGAAGGATGCAGCAGGCAAAAAAAAAAAAAGTATTGTGAAATCTAAAATACTTTAAAAACCCATGATAGTTTTAGATTTTTTCTATTAGACTGTCAGATTGCATGATGCATTTTCAAATGAGTCTCATGGAGCTGTGAAAATACTCTGCCCATGTCTCCTGCTTTTTCTTTAGTTATTTTTTTTAAGTGTTGTGGTATCAGGAGAGAGAGGGTCTTCTGCTGCTGGCCCACAGCAACGTTTCAAAGTAGAAGCAGCGGCTGGGGAAGAGGAAGTGCAGCCTGTTGGCCTGAGAGATCAGTTGTCAAGCATGGAGAAACCTCTTCATGCCTCTGCTCAGCCTGTAGTGTCCCGCCTGCCCTATGTGATGTGTCATTTCCAAATGAATGTAATTTCATTTAAGTCTTTTACGTAAGTTAGGAAATCTAGGTTTTATTGTAGTTTTAAACCTTTAAGATTTGCATTGCAGAAACATAAAGTAAAATATGTTAGGTCTTAGGATGCATTTTGTCAACCCAACCACTAGTTTTTGCAGAGAGTAGAGTACTATGAGACCAAAGCTAATGGCCAGAGATCTTGAAGCATTTCTGTGTTGTAACAGTCACCACTGGGCAGACAGCTGCCAAATGTTTTGCAATTAATCTGATGCTTACTGGCTTTCATATCCCTTTCCTTTCAGAACCAATGCCCTGAGGCAGAGGAATTGGTCTTCAGCCATTTTGTGATCTGTAATGACACACAAGAGACACTGCGGTTTGGCCAGGTGGATACTGATGAAAATATTTTGCTGGCTAGTCTCCGCAGTCACCAGTACAGCTGGCGCTCTCACAAGTCCCCGCAGGTATGTCAGAAACAGCCCTTCAAATGCAGCAATTGCTAAAGCTGACTGGTGGCTTTATGCATTGATACTTCAAATTTCTCTATGGTTTTGACTATCTCTAATGCTCCAGTGCTTTCAGGAGCTGCACACTGGGGCTGCATCACAGAGAAAAGGTAAACAAAGACTGAGGAAAGCCAGAAGTGTTTAGAAGTTACTCGAGGGTAGAACTGGATGTGCACGACCGCTTTCTGTAAAACTGAGCGGTTGTGGAAACTGAAGCTTCTGAAAAAAAGCAAAAGAAGATCGCTTGCCAGGTTTTTATAACTAAGTGATCAGTGTCTGTTTTCTGTGATGTACATTAGAGGTTTGGGGAATTTTTTTAATGAATTGTTTTTACCAGAAGCATCTGTTCACTGAAATTGTTTGCAGAACAGGGTCAAACTGGACAAATCTCTCAACTCAGCATGTGCTTGCATTAAAAAAGATTTGAAATGGTCAGAAACACCCCACTTATATAGTTTAAATAATGCAGTTTCTGTTTCTTGGGTGTTTTTTTTAAGGATAAACACTGACAATGAAATTAAATATTTCAATGAAACCATGTTGTTGGTTTTCTTGAGTGGTGGTGAAAAACGACCTTTTCATCTTTAGTCAAGATAGGGCAAGAATTTAAATCTAAAAAAAAAAAAAAAGTGTTTATGAGACAGCAAAGCCATTTCTTCTGTCTTTTTAATATATATCCCCAGCTCCTGCTGAGTGGGAGACTAGAGACCTGTGCCACCCCACTTGCTGAGCAGCAGTCCTGTGCTGCTAGATCCTAGGTCCTAGGAGAAGTGTAGTGGATGGGGGTTCCTAACTCCTTGAGAGCCTTGGAAAATAGCAGCCTTAGCATGTCAGAAAGAAGGTAAAGTTTGGATGGTAATTCTAAACAGGAGCTGTGCCCAGTTTCACTGCTGACAAATTTCAAGTTTCACTGGGATGGCAAATTTACTGTGTTTTTTGTTCACATGTCAGTTGGTGGATATGCAAAACTACTGAATTTTACATGAATGCGGTAATCTGTGCAGAGCAAATTCAGCCAGAGTAAACAGTTGCAGTTGACTCTGAAGTCAAGGCGTAAGTTAAGAGGAAGGCAGGCTAATAAAGGACCGTCTCACCCCAGCAACAGAGGAGTTGTTATAAACTGTGTGCGCTGGTGTAATAGTGCACAGAGGGGGACCTTTGGAGACGTAGAGACACTGGAGTACTGTACGTCCCTTGTCGCATTTTCAAAAAGGGTGTAGTTTTCTCATACAAGCAAAATGCCTTTGATGCCCCAGCCCACAAGCGAGCAACCCAGATGTGTGACTATGCTCTGTGTCAGGTTTTGAGACAGGGTCCCTACTCATCAGGTGACAGTACTCACATTTGGGTTACAATTGACATAACTCCCTCCGGTTGTGTGAGGGAGAAAGAACAACTAGACTTGCAGAAAGCTAACTACATGTGACCCATATTTCATAACCAATTACCATTTGCTTTTGTAGCAACTACTCAAAAAATCTTTAAACCTTTTCATAAACACATGGAAGGAGAAGGAAATGCTTAAAGCAATTATAAAAAAAAAAACCAGAACCAAGAAAGACTTTCCTCTTAACAATTTTTCTTATCCATTTACTGATTACTTATATAAAATTACTTAGTTGACAGAATCCTCTTTTTGACCATCATTCTGCTAATGGCGTAGTTCTCATTACGGTGTATTTCTAATAATAGTGTACTTCCGATAATGGTGCAAACAGGAAAGTGTTTTGAAAACAAGGATTATCTCAAGCAAAATGATAAGAGTTAAAATTGTTAGTGATACTTTCTGTCATTTGCAGCCGAGCTGCTGAAGACCACCAGCACAATATATGGCATTAGCCATGCAACACTTGGAGAACTTAAAAGATTTAAACATTGATCTTTAGCTTGTCCTTTCAGTCACAGACTTGAGCTGTGCAAAACATTCAGTTTTCATGGCCATTATGTAACTTTCTTATTAAATGAAAAAGTGCAGGATGAAAGGTGGAAAAGTCCAGCTGAAAACCAAATCACACATTAGGGAGTGGGTGAGGTGACAGTAGGAACATCAGATTCATTTTTCAGATATTCATTCTTCAGCTGAAAGTTGGTGATGTCAAAGGGTTTCCCCATTGTGTTTAGCTCTGATCAGATTCAGATTCACTGAAGAACTGGGCTGATAAACAGTCATGTTGGATTCCCACATCCCAGGAGATGGGGAAGCAAATAGCTCGCTCCTCCTGACTCAACCACGTTGCTGGCCAGCAGGCCCTTCTAATAGGGATGGGGGGGCTGTACCTCCCTTGTCCCAGCCCTTGGAATAATTTCAAGAATATTTCTGCTCTTTTAACATTTTTCAACAGCCATCTTTTGCTGGAAATTTAGAGACTAAAAAATAGCACTGAGGTAATTTCACTGAAAACATATGGAAGCACAGGCTTTCCTCACACTGTTGAAACAGAAGCAAATTTTCTTTACAAAGGTCGGAGAAACTTGGCATTCATCTATAAGCCTTGTTCATTTGGTTAATGTTAAATACAAATCACTAAGTTTAGCATGCTTCAGAAAGGCAGTTCATCTAAACAGTCTAAACAGCACAATCCTTTGTCATTTTAGATCATACAAAGTAAGTTTGTTTAAATATTATTACAAATGTTGTCATGTAAATTTTTTCAATGATTAATACAAATCCTTGAAATGAAAACGACAACTCAATTAAGACATCAGGTTGTCCCTATTATGCTATGGCACCTTTCTAATTGTTTCCATGCAAAACTATCTAACAGCTTATTATCCAAAGGTCAGAATAATGCCCAAGCATGGACAAACCCTCAAAGTGTCATATTCATGGAATGCTAGATGACTTCATAGTTATGAAATTATTTCATTTCTCATGATAATTCCCAACTTGCCACGTTAGTGAATTTTAAGAACTCTGAGAGCAGATTGTAAGATAAATGTGAAATAATCCATACTTCTGGAGTCAGGGACTTCCCTCCAGGCATTAGTTCATACTTGACTTACTTGACTTACTCTTGGGGATAAAATGAGTTAGGACAAGGTCTTAGATACCACATTCTCTTACTGGGAAAGAAAACCAACTTGCACAACTTCGGCTGGCTCATGTTTCTTGTTACACAGGCACTAAGAAGCAGCGGTTGCCATGAAATACTTTATTTAACCTCTGCAAAATGTTTTTTTAGTATGGCAAGGCAGTTCAGTTAAATGAAAATAAATAGTTTTAAAAGGATTGTATTTCTTTCACATTCACATCAATAAAATTCTCCATTTTTCTTTTGCTAATTAAGCATAGTGAGAGATGCAGTAATTGTCCATTTGAATTATTTAACACAAATATATACCTAAAATAAGTTATTTTTCTCGTAGCAGATAGTTATATAATGCTTTATTTACATTTAGAATTCATTTTAATATTAATGAAGCTACTATAGACTATAATTAAAAATTGTTCAACTTTTTCATGTTACGAAAACTGCTATAGCACACCAAGGATTTGGATTTATCAGCTATTGATGGCATCCCTCTAACTGTTTGGCTTAACTTAAAGCTCCTTCCTTCCTTTGTTTTTTCCCAGCCCGGATCTTCTACATTTCAGGGAACCTAACCTTTCCCTTTTAACTTTCACTCTGATTCCTGTAAGTCTCGCTGGTTTGGCTAATATTTCAGTAATAAGTCTGAGGTCCAATGCTCTCTCTTCTACTCCACTCCATCCCCCATGTTTTCCTCAGATTTCATGAGGTTTTGACCTTCCTTAGGGATAAGACACCCCCAACTATATAGTCCTTTTCAGAGTTGGGGTAAGTTCAAAACTGGTGATATTTAAGGCTTTAAGCAATTCTAGCAAAAGTTGCCAGACCTCATGAGTTCCTTTTGCAGATTTTAATGAAAGTTAGAGGTCTGTTAGATATCATTAAAAGGGAAGAGAAGCTACATCACTCCTGTGCTCCACAGACAACACTGGCTCCTACGTTATTATTGGATCCAGCCTGCGCTCCTTATCTTGATCTTCGAGTTGCTTTGTGGGATGGGCCCCAGTTATGTCAAAAGTCATGTTTGTCTCCAAGACAGCTGTGTTTTTTAGGAGAAGAACTGGAGCATTTGATACATAGGGTGAAACTCTGAAGTTAGAAGAGATCAGATCTTCCTAGCAATTTACTCAGAGTTCAGGAATTCTGTCTTGCAAGACAGTAGGCAGCCAGAGGGTCCCACTAGGGATCGCTGCAAATGCAAAAACCAGCTATTCATGTGAGAATCCCCTGAATGTATTCAGCAGAGGTTGTTTGCTTGTGAATAAACAGCGAAAACATTCTATAACATGCTAGTTATTACAAGTTATTTTCCCCACGCTGAAACTTCACAGAGTCCTCTGACGAAGCAAAGAATAATGGATCTAAATTCATTATTTTGCTTTCTATGGAAAACATAATGTTGCATAGGGGAAGTCTGTGTTTAAAGTAGCAGCTCCCAAACCTTTCTCCAGATTCTTCTCCCAGGATTATAACAACAGCCCATTTTCACTTTTCACTCTCCTTAGCTTGAAGCAGCAGGTGTAATGGGTAAAAATCAGTTCCTAGGTTGATTTGGGTAATGACTTCAGTGAGAATGTGACCAAGTTACTGGTTATAAACAAACTAGATTTATTTCTTATCAAAGTAGGTAAATATGCCTGAAACAGCTATGTGCCACTTTATCGCTACTTATATAGAATTCGAGGGAAAATATCATTTGCTTTTCTGTTCTTCTGAACATACACTTATGAATTCTTGAATAGATATTAGTAGTGGTTAGTATCTTAATAATACTTTCACTGGAACCCATTTAAAGTTTTTTTTTCTCTTATTTTACATAGTGTGCCTGCAAAGCACAACTTCTGCTAGGATTTTATAAACGTAATTTTTAATGGCAGTTGTAGATTTGGAAATAGCTTTAAGAACCTCCTCCTCATTCTCCTACAAAAAAAGACTGAAGCCAAATTTTAATTTGTGTTGCATCTCCAGCAGGATCATACGTCATTGTTATTTATTTCCAAGTTGCCATTCTTTCAGGTACTGGGTTATATAAAGTGTAAGATGATGTGCAGTACTCTGTGGATTCAAACTTAGGAACTGTGACTTACTTATCAGTTATTATTGGGATATTTTCCTGGTTTATTGTTTAGGGATGTTACAGATTCTCTGTATAACCTTTTGTACTTTACATAATCCTCCCCAGGTCATTTACAGAACAACATCAGGAAGAAAAAAAAAAAAAAAGCTGTATGTTATTTTACACTGTTTAAGTAGTGAGAAACATATTGTTGCTTTCCTTTGGTGTCCTGCATTCAAAATCAACAGTTATGTGTAACTGACTTTCTAGATAATACCTGGGGTAGATGAGGTTTGATATTATCCATAAATCACATGAACCCTCATATTTTGGTTACTGTTTCTTAACCAAAAGACTCTTCTTTTCCACAGTGTGTAGAGCTAGTTTGTATCTGCGAGGTTCAGGCCCACTTGGCAGGTTGTGTTGAGGCTCGCAACACCTTCAGGAGCCCCCGAGGATCGGAGTTTTTCTGCCGAGTGTGACTTTTTTCTACTAGCTAGCATGAGGGTGATTGAAATTCCTTTCTCACATGCTCCTTACTGGCCATATGTCTTACAAGGGACAATGGTGCAGAACTGGCCAGATCTCCCAGATCCCATGAGAAAATGAAGCCAAACTGAAACTCAAACGGGTTGGGTGGCTGCTGCAGCTGACAGTGTGCAGAATGAACGTTTCATTCCCTGTTTTCCCAAATACTAATTGGTTTTATTGTTGTAAGTCCTAATCCTGGTCGAGGGCCACCAGGTTGTAACCTGAAAACACGACCAAAAAATACCAATCATCCTTCTCCTTTGATTTTTCAATTAAAAATTGCTTTAGCTTCAAGTCTTAGAATTCACCTCCCATCTCCTGGTCTCCATTTCCTCCATGCTGCTGTATCATCACAGCTTTTATTTTACTATCTCGTATCTTTTAAAATAACCGACTGCTTCCACACCATTAACCAGGTCCTCACTGGATTCCTCCCAGTCTCTCAGAGTTGAGAGCAATAACCCTTATTCTTCAAAAAAAGCATTTTCTAGTTTCACTTAGAAGACAAATATAATCTAACTACAGTGAAACCAAGTTAACTTTGGTGGATCTACCAGCAATGTAGAAATAAAATTTGTACCACTAAGCATTTTGAAGGCACAAGCTTTAAATTACTTACACAGCTGGAAAATGCTGCCTTTTCTGGACAGGCTCCATTCTTCGGCTCATTTTTAATCCCCCATTTTAGTCTTCGTGCCTTGTCATATGACACTTAGCTTTATTTACTCAGATCGTATCCTTCACTCGCACATCTAGCTGAAAACCTAAGTAAATTTTGAAGAGTGCGTAGAAACATTGTGTGAAGAGACGTGTAAAAGAATACAACTTTTGCTGCAATAGGAACAGCTTCATCTGAAGGCAATTTCTTTCCCTCTCAAAACACAAATCCATTACGGCTCAGAATTACAAATCCAAGCCCCAACAAAGTCTAGTCAAAACAAAAAACTCTGTGTTATCTGTTAATATGTTTCCCTAACAGAAAATGCAGAAATCAAATGGTTACACAAATGAGCACCTATCTTCACATATATAATAGATAGTTTTAAATTCTCTCTAAGCTATAAATTGCCACTTATCGCTGGATTATATTTGCTAGAATGCTTTTGAAGTCCATTGGATATTTTTTGCACCTTTTTGCAATGACTTCTCTTTTCTCCTAATATAGGTACCATACTTAGCTATACTGGTTGAACTTTTTTAAGCAGTGTCAAATAAACACTTAGAATTTACTTAAAGCTTGATAAATGAAAGGCAGTTACATGGCAATTACTGTGAATCTGTAGTATTAGGTCAGTTTTGTAATGTTAGAGCTCTGCCTTGTTGAGTATCTAACAACATGTATTATGACATCTTCTGCTAAAATAATGCTAACACCTGATTACTTAATTTTCTAAAATTACTTCAATTTTTATTTCCTGCTATATATCTCTGTATCACTTAGTGTCATTTGGTAATTACTTCTAGCCACGTTTTCCAGAAATCTCACATTTAAATAACTGATTCACCCAGAGATCCCTTTGCGTTTTCATGGAATGCAGTTTCTTGGCTCAAAAGTGAACTTACGCAGTACCCAATTCTTACATTGTTATGTCATTAATACAAATATATTCAATATCTTTAAAATAACTTACGAAGACTGTTCCCATTTTTATATAGCATTTGCCAGTATACAAATAGTATGTTTATAAAATAAGAAATGGCTAATGTATGATAATAGCTCTTCTTTATTTTTCTTTCTGAACCGTGAAGTTAAATGCAGACTAATCGTTGCGCCTCAGAGAAAATTAGTAAGGCAGCATTTGGGAGCTAATGACTGCTCAGGGAAAGCTGACAGCGTGTTCCTTGGGAACAGTCAACTCATGAGCAAAGCTGTTTATAGAGGGTGGGAGACATCCTAGTGTTGGAGCTACATACAATTACTAATCATCAATTATGGCATTCATATGACATCTATCTTTGGAGCTCGCCTTATTTTGGGTGCCTTCTAGCTGAGACTGACCGCTTGCTACCTTTTCTCATTATTTGGCTGTCATTTCCAGCTACCAGTCTCTCCAAAGTAAACAGTTTTCTTGTTTCTCTTAGTTTTCGTATGTGATGAGATTTATTCCCAGCTGCCTCTGTAAGAAACTGAACTGATTCCAGCCACTGCATTGGATCTTTTTGTTTTGTTTTTCCTTTTCTGTGACTAATACTTAAGAATCAAAGCAACGTGTTTGTTTATGAGTTCGAGTGTCCTAGTGCAAAGCTTCCCTCATTCTTAACTATAAAGCTGTGCCCACGCGTGTGCACATCCAGATGCATGCCCACGTGCGCACTGGCACATATTGGCCGTTGTGCTTCCAGCGTAAAGCTAATTTGAATCTGAATGCAACAGTCATCACTCTTGCAAATTCAAAAGCCACCCACTGAATGGATGTTATTGTTCTGTGTGTAACTTGTGCTGAGGATACCACAAATTGCAAACAGGCTACTGAGTTGTAATATCTTTGAAAGTTGTTGCTGCGGTTGTTTCTTAAAACAATGAAAAAACCCAACATCCAGCCCTTCGCTAAGTCCAACTGGCCAGCCCCCTGGCCAGTGCTCTCTCTTTCTGGAAACAAATCATGGGAGAACATAATATTTACAAGTTTCAATTTTTGCTAGTGTAAATAATCAAACTTTGGGCCTGATCCTGTTCTCAATTACTTAAATTAATTAATGACAGATGTCCAAAATCAGAGTGAAATTCAACCCTCAAGAGAGAATTCCCACAAGGCCTTTATATAACTGTTTTAAAGGACTTAAGTGATGCTTAAGCTCTGTGCTGGCCCTCTGCAAAGAATAAATTTTACCCAGAATGCTTATTGCTTTGATCCCTTGTATATAACTCACATCCTTAAGTTTGCACAGCCACAAAAGTTCTATACAGAGCTAAATAGCCAGATCTTCAGCTGGCGTAAATTTATGTAACTTCATTGACCTACATGGAACAGTACCAATTTTCACTACTCTGGCTTAAAGAATCTCCATGGGATAGAGGTAAGTCCGTATGGTGGGTAAATGGATGAAAGGCTCTTCAAATGATGAAAGACTATATTGCTCTGGAAGTGATTTAAGTTAAACTGGAAAAAAAGCCACTCCTTTTCCGGAATAAATCACACAGGGAGTATAATTATGCAGTTAAATTTCTTCTCATGCAGTCAAGTTTGAACTTGCCACCACATTTGTGTAAGAAATAAAATGTTTCCCATGTCTCAGCAATATGGTAAGTTCTACATTTAACACACATATATACATGAGCTGTACAAGTATACATACAAATAGATTTGCATCCTTCTTTATTTTGAAGGGAAGGGTATTTGTAATTTTCTGTCTTATTCTGAAGGCCAAAAATCTGGCCTGGACCTGTGTTCCATATCACCTTGCTGGTAATAAAGAGGGTGGATTTCTAGAACAATTTTAAGGGCAGTAAAGAAAATCTCTTATTTCCTGTTTTATGCTCTCTAGTCTACATACCCTTTTTTCTGAACAGTTGTGTGCTGGATTTTTACCATCCTAAATACACTGTTAAAGCAGGTAATTTGTAGAAATGCATGATGCAGAGCCATCTTACGGTATTGTGGATTCTTCTGTTTGTATCTGAAATCACAGAATGAGTGGATCATTCAGAGAACTGGTGTGCTTTGCATTGCTGAGTTTTAAAACCAAGAATATTTATCTGTCATGGGAATTCCTATCCTACTGCAAGGCGCTTTTTTTTTCCCAGTTATGTATTGAAGTAGTAATTGCTTTCTTTCCAGCTGTTACACATCTGTATTGAAGGCTGGGGAAACTGGCGGTGGTCTGAACCATTCAGTGTGGACAATACAGGGACCTTTATTCGTACCATTCAGTACAAGGGCCGGACAGCATCACTTATTATCAAGGTTCAGCAGCTCAGTGGAGTGCAAAAACAAGTAAGTATTTGAGCCAGTTCAGAAAAAATAACATCAGTAATTTAAACTGTTATCTATTCACAAATTAGCCACTTGATTATTTATTCTCTTCTACTGGGATCTGCAAAAAACAGTCTTCTGGGGGCATTTTTGAGAGTTTTTACAACTCTTCACTTTGGTATGGATCTTAGCATTTAAAAGCTCAGTTACCACCACATATTTTACATGTTGCAGTAAGCATCCCTTTGCATGGTTTGTAAGTTCTGACAATGCTAAGTTACACAATTCCTTGCATTTTTTAAGCTCTTGAGAAGCAGAATTATTTTTTTTTTAAGAAACTGCTCATATCTTATTCTGGGTTGTAATTCAGACCTTTGTATTGTTAAAAGAGAAAGAAGTAATGACCAAATTAACATTTGAAAATGGGCTGCTTTGTAGTAACTTTTCACGTACTGTCTTTGTAAAGAGATCTGTAATAACACTGCAGTCATTCTGCCTGCATTGGCAGAAGCCAGAGCGTGTGGTGGACATAGCATGTTCAGCTCATGGATATGGCAGGGCACCTTATGTTGCACAACAGAAATACAGCTGATCAGACAAGAACAGTGCTTGGCATCGCTGAAAGCCCTGCTGAGATTTTGCTTGGTAGGTTGTAGCTATGATGTGCGCCCTCATTAACGAAAAGCAAATGAAGATGGTTTTAGCAGGGATACACATGGAATGCTGTTCCTTAGAATAAAGTCAGATACATGTTCTATAATGAACAATTCATGTGTGATGGACAGCAACAACTCTGACTCTAATTCGGTCGTTTTCTAGGTGAGTGCACTTAAATACAGAAATATGGTATGGCCGTTTCATGTAATGATAAGCTTTAAAACAGCAAAGATATCAAAAGATCTGGATCACTGGATTGTGATGGGAACCTCACGGTGTCTGCTCAGAAAGGGCTGAGCATTCGAACACCATCACAGTACTCTCAAAATCCAGCCCAGAGCTATGTCAGCCATGGGCAGCACTGCTGAGTTCAGTGGGAACAAAAGTGGATATGTTACATGTTTCTTTCAAGCCCGGATACTGCCTTAGCTATATTTCAAGCATTTTAATGCCTAGGTTTCTATGAAATTGCACATACATTTGGCCAATAAAAATAATGTTTTACCATTCACTGCCTTCAGGAGTGCTTGGGAAAACCTATAATAAGGAGATTATTCTTGTACAGGTTTTCACTCTGTAATTCAATTTTGACTTTTTTTTCCACAATTGTTTATATATGAGCTGCATATTTTTGTGTGTTTTAGATCCTAATCTGTGGAAGACAGACAGTCTGTAGTTACCTTTCCGAAAGCATTGAACTGAAAGTGGTTCAGCATTACATTAGTCAGGATGGACAGGCCATTGTTAAAGAACACATCAACTGCCTTGCAGCCAAGCAGAAGTTGCCTTCATATGTTCTAGAAAACAATGAGCTCACTGAGCTGAGTGTGAAAGCTACAGGAGATGAAGACTGGTCCCGAGACGTATGTCTAAGTTCTAAACATACAGAACACAGCACTGTCATTCAGGTATGATTAGAAATAGATATATGGAATATAACATTAAAAATGTCTGAGAGAACTGAGGACTTTGCATGTAGACTTCTATTTGATATGGTGAAATGTTGATCATCCTGAAATAATTTTAGTGTAATGCTGCTGATCTCTCTGCATACAGGTACCATCTTCAAAGAGTTCAATTACATATGTGTGGTGTACAATTTTGACTTTAGAGCCCAATTCTCATGTGCAGCAACGATTAGTAAGTACATTTAATATCTCTGAAATCTGAATGTTTATGCCTGACGTCATATAATAAATTAAGGGCAGAATGACCCACTTTAAAGATTTATTAATAGCTTGTTTCAACAGTTGTAATACTGGAATAAAATTAGCCTTGCATTGGTATATTCTTTTCTTTTTGTAGATTGTTTTCAGCCCTCTTTTCATTGTAAGGAGCCATCTTCCAGACCCAATTATCATACATTTAGAGAAAAGAAGTCTGGGACTGAAGGAAACACAAGTGATTCCAGGGAAAGGACAGGAGAAAGCACTGCAAAATATAGAACCTGATCTTACGCATCACTTGACATTTCAAGCCAGGTAAAATAGTCGTTTCCTTGAAAATGGTTCATTTGTACGGGAAAGAAGGAGTAATCTACACTTTACCTTCTGGTGCATTTTTTCCAACAGTATGGCATAGGTAGAGGAGGTACAACAGAACAAGCATACGTGGCCTGAAATGATATTATAGGAAATATTAAATTTGGTATAACTCTCCTAAGCACATTGACATTGTTTTTGTATTTTGAAAAGTAAACTCCTAAATTATCTTGAAATGTTTTTTGAGAATACTGAAGAGTTTCTAGGGTCTCAGACACAAAGGTCATTACAGTGTCATGACAAATTCATGCATGTCAGTTAATGCTCAGGAACTTGTTAGACATAACTTGATTCATCCACGATTACCCTGAGAGTGTTCCTACTGCAGAGTAAGCTTGGAAGGCTTCATTGAAGAAAATGTTAGTGCTACTAATGCTTGATCTTGTTGTGTCAGTGACTGAATCTGTTTTCAATGACAGGGAGGAAGATGATCCATCAGAGTGCGCAGTCCCTATCTCAACCACGCTGATTAAACAGATAGCGACTAAATCCCATCCAGGTGGCAATGTCAACCAAATACTGTCCGAGTTCTATGGCACCGCTAATCCTCCCCAGCCTGTATGGCCATATAGTAGGAAGGATTCAGACAGGTAATTCTTTGCTAAACCTTCTTCATGGTTGTCGCATTGCCTTTTCAAATAAACTGAAATCACGTTCAAGAAGACTATATATATGTGATCAACATCGAATATGTTTTCAGTAATTACATGATTCCTGTATGTAAGCTGCAGAATCTGTTGCAGGTGGGAAAAAATTGAGGTCAGCCTAGGGACTGCCCTTGATTACACTGAGAAGATTGCATTAGCAAGGATTAAAAAAATGAAACTATTTTTCTGTGAAGGCACCTTCTTTACTGCAGCTCTAGAGGCTGTTGTTTATTCAGTAGCTGTTTGTTTCAGTACAGAAACAGCGAGTTCCTGTAGGAGGAGTTGCTGAAAAAAAAAGGAAATGTGATTTTATGACTGCAAAAGTCAGAGTAGTGTGACTTAGTTCTGAAGGATAGTGGTAGTTCTGTCAAGGTGTTGCTTTAATTGACCAAATTTAGGTTGAGCTTATGTGGTTAAAAATACATCTTTATAGCCTACACGTAGCTAGATCTGTCTGACAGCATCTTAGCGTGTTCCAGAATGATAAGGTAAGAGGAGATTGTTTTTCTCTTTCAAAACCAGAAAAGCCCTGCAAATTTCTGAAAATTACATTTGTAATCTTTAATTCATTTTTCCTTTGACTTTATCTTTTTGTTTATTTGTTTTTGAACAGCAATGAACAACTCTCCCAGTGGGATAGCCCAATGCGGGTAAAGCTGTCAGTGTGGAAACCGTGTGTTACAACTCTGCTGATAGAACTCCTGCCCTGGGCTTTGCTTATCAATCAGTCCAAGTGGGACCTCTGGCTGTTTGAAGGAGAGAAGATTGTTCTTCAAGTACCTACTGGGAAAGTCATTATACCTCCCAACTTCAAGGTAACGTTGCCATTCACAGGCGCAGTTCTGCTAAGCATTCTGATTCTGACGAATGGTTATTAATCCAAATGATTTCCACTTTCCAGTCACTGTGTCTGTAGTGATATGATGAGGAGTAGAAATAACAATAGAAATTTTCCACGCAGACTGAGTCACCAAGTGGGTAGCATGACATAGATGATAGCAATGTGTGAGGATGCAGTTACAAATTGTCTGTAAGACACTGTAGGAAGAAGACCTGCACGCCATCTGATTCAGCAGCCTTTTCTCCTTCCTCCCAGTTCAGCCAATGAATCTGCAAGGTGGACATAATGTAGCAGCCCAAGTAAATTGCTATAAAGGCCAAATACAGACAGCTGACCTCTAACTTGAGAAGTGTGTTGACCACAGTAGCAAAGCTGACAGTTTGGAAGGCATGTTTGGTTTGACAGTGGTTTAGGTCAAGTTGTTTCATAGCTTATGCGCTACCAAGAAAGGTTTGATAATCAGATAGGGTGAATTACAAATGAGGAAGATTCTTTAGGATGAATTCAGAGTTTTGGGTAATGGATCTTTAGCTTGCCCATGCATATGCTTTTTTATTACAACCCCAATATTCTTTATTTTTGAAACAACTAAAATAATTTGACACAGCAGCTTGTCAATTCCAATTGTGCCATCTGATACTTCATGTTTATTTTGATGTCTTTCCCCCTCCCATGTACATCTGTTAATAAACAAAAGGTCTGCCTATTAACATGTCTCAGTATAGACTGTAGTCTTGATTCCACCATGAAGATCAGTCCCATATCCAGAACTGTGGTTTCATCTATCCTTGTACCACATAGAAAGAGGGAAAAAGGGAGGAAATGAGATTGACTTCATACTGGAAACTGTGTTTAACTCTAGTAGAAGTGTATCAAATTGTCAAGAAGTGATAATTGGTCATTTTTCACTTGCAGGAAGCTTTTCAGGTTGGAATATACTGGGCAAACACTAATACTGTGCACAAATCAGTGGCAATTAAACTGGTTCATAATGTGACCTCCCCAAAATGGAAGGATGCCGATAATGGGGAAGTAGTAACGTTGGATGAAGAAGGTTTTGTTGAAGCTGAAATAAAACTTGGCGCTTTTCCGGGTCATCAAAAGGTTAGAAGAACTGTGATTTATAACTTTTTCATTTAAAAACAAAGTCATATAGCAGGTGAAAACTATCAAATGTATGCAGTGTGAAAGCTCCTCCCTAATTATATTAATACATATAAAACATAATGAGAGTATAAACAACGTATGAAGTATAATTTAAAGAATTAGATCGCCAAAAACATTCTGCCCAAGTATTCAAGATAATACAATATCTCCTGGAAAAAGAATTAAGGAATTCTCAATCTCGTTTGGAAAACAATTGACAGATTTTGGAAAAAAAAATTGAAAAAAATTGACAGGTGCAACTTCAAAAGCATGTCATGTGGCTCCAGTTACAAAGTGCATGAATATAGACAGTATTTCCGCAGTTAAAAAGAAAATGGCAGTTCTGTCACTGTACTTCAATACCTTTTGTGGTTTTGTGTGTGACCTCATCATTGCTTTTATTATCTTACAGTTGTGTCAATTCTGCATTTCTTCAATGGTTCGACAAGGTATACAAATTCTACAAATAGAAGATAAGACAACAATAATCAATGATACATCATATCAAATCTATTATATGCCACAGCTTTCTATTTCCAAACCCTACTCAGGAGAAGAGGTAAAGCACGGTGGATACTGGTTTTGTTTGTCATCTGCGGTACATGGGTGTTTAGATTTGTATGGTCTCAACTGCATATAGCAGAGCTTGAACAGAAAGCTTTAGATATAATAATGCTAAAGTATTTTATATCATTTTAATTAAAAATACAGAATCCTGGGTAAATTCAACTCCAGTAATTAACTGTCATCAGAAATCTGTGCAAAGCAGGAGATTCTTACACATTGCAGAATTAGTTCTGCCTGTTCTCCATCTGTTCAGGCACTAATGGCCATTTCTGTAAAATAGGCAGCGTAATCCGTAGTAGCTGTTGAAATTGTTCTCAGAATTTTTACTGACTTCGCGTGTAAAAGAGGTATATTGGCCTGGCAGGCTGAAAACTTTTTGTTATCCTTTTGGGAAGATTCCAGTTATCTGAACAAAGCTGCAGAACTAGAGACGTGCCCAAAGTTTATGTATTTCAGCGAACTGCATCAAATCGTGAATATCAGTTTTCTAATAATTGCACAGTATATTTAAGGACTAGCTTACAGGAACCAAAATGTATGCATGGTCAATATATTTTAATCAACCATTTATACATATTTATTGAAGATTACATTTATAGTAAAATATGTGGAAAGAATTCTCAGGGTCAAACTTGCTAGAGGAGTTGGCAGATAAACAAAATTTTAAAGTTCCCTATTTCTGTATTGGTTTCCTTCTGCATTAGTTTTCTTCACATCAGTATCTACATTTGTGCGTTGTGCATTTTGTGCCAGTCTTATGGGATAGGGAATTGGAAGAATGTTGAGGCTAAAATCCACTCTTAGTTTTATCTCTATGAATGGATTTTCTTCTCACACTTATGTTACAGTGATGTAACTGTTGCTTTTGGTAGAGTTATCACATAATCGTAGAATCACAGAATGGTAGGGGTTAGAAGGGACCTCTGGAGATCATCTAGCAGGTTGCACCGGATTACGTCCAGGTGGGTTTTGAATATCTCTGGAGAAGGAGACTCCACAGCCTCTCTGGGCAACCTATTCCAGTGCTCTGTCACCCTCAAAGTGAAGAAGTTTTTCCTCATATGGAGATGGAACTTCCTGTGTTCCAGTTTGTGCCTGTTGTCCCTTGTCCTGTCACTGGGCACCACTGGAAAGAGTCTGGCCCCATCCTTTTGACACCTGCCCTTTAGATATTTATAAGCGTTGATCAGATCCCCTTCTCTTCTCCAGGCTAAACAGACCCAGCTCTCTCAGCCTTTCCTCATACGAGAGATGCTGCAGTCCGCCCATCATCTTTGTAGCCCTCCGCTGGACTCTCTCCAGTAGTTCCCTGTCTTTCTTGAACTGCAGAGCCCAGAACTGGACACAGAACTCCAGATGTGGCCTGACCAGGGCAGAGTAGAGGGGGAAGATAACCTCTCTCGACCTGGTGGCCGCACTCTTCTTAATACACCCCAGGATACCATTGGCCTTCTTGGCCACGAGGGCACACTGCTGGCTCATGGAGAGCTTGTTGTCCACCAGAAGTCCCAGGTCCTTCTCTGCAGCACTGCTTCCCAGCAGGTCAGCCCCTAACCTGTAGTGGTGCCTGGGGTTATTCCTCCCTAGGTGCAGGACCCTACACTTGCCCTTGTTGAATTTCATTTTGTTCCTCTCTGCTAGACTCCCTAGTCTGTTGAGATCTCGCTGAATGGCAGCACAGCCTTCTGGTGTGCTGACCACTCCTCCCAGTTTAGTATCATCAGCAAAGCTGCTGAGGGTAGACTCTGTCCCCTTATTCAGGTCATTGATGAATACGTTGAATAAGACCAGATAGTGTTGTGCAACTGAGAGTAGACTTTGGACTTTAGATAACTGTGCCCAGTTAACTGCATAAATATACCTGAAGACAGAATTTGGCCAAATAGTTTTTAATGGAATGGACTTAGCGCAACCTTCAGTTAGTTGTGGTCATTTGGCTACTTGAGACCGGTCTGTGCAAGACCAATATGAATTAACCAACGTGTCATGCTACCACCATCTTTTTTTCCTTCCAGGCCTTCCACTCCTCAGACAGCACGGTGTTCAGCGTCAGTCCAGCTGGGGCACCCCCCAGCGAGACGCTGAGCGCTGTGCCCTGCTGGGACCTGATGTCGGACACCAGTCCCTTAACTTCAGGGGCGCCTCTTACAGAAAAACGCCTGCTGCTGACTTTCAGTCCAGGCGGCTGCACTGGCAGGTGTGAGCTGTGGAGCTTACCAGCTGTCATTAAACAGGAGTTTCCTAGACAGAGCGTGGCGGTGCCCACAGGGGTTTGTAGTGACAGTGGATTTTGTACCAGGTACTGTATGCTGAACAGTCATGAATTATCAACTTTGCTTCTTACTGTAAAGCCTCAGCTAGTAACAAACCATGAGAGATTAATGCAAAAGTCAGAGTAACACATGCCCCCCATATGTAAAGGCAAGCCTTCCTTTAATTTAAAAATTGTAATCTTTTGATGGTTTTGATGCTTTTATTGTAAATGGTTTAATGTTATGACCATGTACAAGTTGTACAATTTTATAATGTATGGACTGCTATTTTTTTACTTGCGTACAAAATAGGAGCATGAAAAGTTTATATTAGAAATTATGGGGTTTTTTAATTTGTGGGTAACAATTTAAGAGTTCAAGGACAGTGTGAAATAATACAATACAAAAATTTAGGTTTTGTTTATAAAAGGTAAAAATATATTTTAGTAATAATAATAAGAGGATAAACAGGAAAAGCAAAAAAGAGACGAAAATATTTTGAGACTACAACAAGGAAAGATTTCCAAGTTTTAAAGCTTGAAATATCCAAATGTGCATTCCACTTACAAACAAATGCATCCAGCTAGTTAAAAATAGCAGTCCAATGACTTGTCAGATACCCAACTTTAATTCTCAGACCTGATATCTGAATCTATTCATGCTTATGATGGTATAAACAAGAAACAATCGGCTGAAATTAGAGGAGCTGCATCAGTATATATTACCAGCCATATGATCTTTCTCTTGCCTGAAGTGCTTGATATCATTCAAACCCTCATAAAGTTCCTCTTCAGAGTCTAAGAGGTATCATTGTGGATACTACAGATTCTCACACAGATTAAAAAAAATTTAAAATGGAAAGAACAAGGAAAGGATTCCTTATAATTCTGAAACAGGCATAAAGGATCTCATGTTCCTAATCAAATTTTCAGACTGTTTGGATTTTTAAAATCACCATGAGGTGAAGTTTTTAAGAAATAGCCAATAAATCTGCACAAGGAAAAAAAAGCATTTGTGTTTATGTGTGAAGACATTTTATGTAGCTAATGAGTAGAACTAAATTAATTTCTTTTCATTTTGGAAATTTATGTAGTGATGATCCATAACATTAATGTGTGAAAGAGCGATAGCATGGTGGATCATTCCAGGGGAGCAGTCAGTTACAAATTTATGTGTTTGTTAAAAATATCTTTCATGTGTATCAGAGAAGTACGCGTGTGAAAAGCTTCTGGAAAATTTTAAAGATTTGTGTTGAAAATTTGGGCCTACAATTTCATGTTTTTAATTTAATATAAATCTCTGCTGGCTAGGGCTCTCATCTTGCAAACACACATGCTCAGTTTAACTCATAAGTAGTCTCTATGAAGTGATTTCTTCTCTAATGTTGTTTTTCGTGCTATTTCCGCGTGTTCTTCTGTTTAAATATAATTCTCAGTGGAGGTATGTACTTGCCTAAATGTATATAAATACCTGTGAAATTGGAACTTGATCATAAAGAATGCTAGTTTTGAATGTTTTTAATTGTCCGGAGTAAAGATTTCATTTAAAACATGCATAATCAAATATATCTGCTTCTCTTTTAGAGCTATAGCACTGACTTATCAAGAGCATCTTGGCGTGACATACCTAACACTTGCAGAAGATCCTAGTCCTCGTATAATTATCCACAATAGGTGCTCCGTTCCATTGCTTGTAAAAGAGAACTTCAAAGGTAGGTAGTATGCAGTAATTAGAAACAGTGCACTGTTGTAGTATAAATTATTTTACTGTATCTCAAATACAAAGTTGAGTTCACTATGTATTTTGATTACAACAAGAACCTGATGCCCTCATAAAGGTCTATCTCAAAGTGAGAGCCTCTGGAAGATACCGAAGCCTGGAAGCTAGTGGAGCTAATCGTGAGGTCAGGAGTATGAACTTGCATGGCTCCAGGCTTTTGGGTCTCCCTGGTTCCAGCTGTCAAGGTGACGTGGCTGTAGGAAGCTAGTAGGCAGTGGAGTTTTACTGACATCAGTTCAATGCTATGAAACATTTAAATCTCCTCAGATTTGCAAATGTAACACAAAACATGCTGCCAAAATTCCAGTTATAGTATGTTAATGTAATGATCAGTGGAACATTATTCATGTAAAGCTTAATGACATTAAAAAGAAAAGGAAAAAAACATGAACACATAAAATTCCAACCAATAGAAAAGTAATATTTTTATTTATTGGTAACATTTCAGGCAGAAACTTCCTAGTTTGTATAAGCATAGGTGAGTTTTGATTTAATAGGGGTTTTAGAAAGCACTAATCTTACATATTTTATAAAATTTCAGATACACCAAAGTTTGAAGTTTATTGTAGAAAGATTCCGGCTGAATGTTCAGTTCATCATGAACTTTACCATCAAGTCTCCAGCTACCCAGATTGCAAAACAAGAGATTTGTTGCCCAGCATTCTTCTGAAAGTGATGTCATCCGATGAATTAGTAAATGAATGGAGTGATTTTGTGGACATCAACAATCAAGGAACACAAGTAAATTGTTTTAAACTATTTCCTAGTTCACAGCATAAATGGTTGCCTTCCTGACCTGCACAGTATATTGTTCCTCTGCAATAAGCATATCCTTTCTGTTGGTTTTAAGTGGGTTTATTTAAGGCTTGGAAGCTCTCCTTCCCAAGCCCCTCTCAGTGGAAGTTTAAGACTACAGATTACCTTCTTCACTGGCTGTTTTTAAAAGTAGCTAGATAAAACTACAGGCTTTCTAGTGCTGAATTTTTTCACATCTTTTTGATCAACCTTGCAAGGCCAAGGCATTCCCTTGAAAAATCAGTCCTGAAAATTTCTGGCCCCTGTAAGCAAAGAATTCTGCAGGATCTGGGAAAATCCTTCTATTTGGTAACTTAATTATCACAGGATTTTTATCTTTACATCTTGCAGGAATCATCACTGTCATTCTACCCGTGTTTTCACAGAAGCTACACATGTCTTTCTAAAACAAAACAAAACCCCCTTTTCTTTCCTTCTGTTATTTTTCTCCTGTTTTGAGGTAAATGAAAACTTCCTTGACTGGAGTAATTCTTTTTGATGGGAGTTTTTTCCATCTTTGAAGTCATTAGTTTACATGGAATCAACATAAACTGCTTGGCTCTTTGAAAGAAATACTAGTTTCAGATGTTTTCCCTGGGGACCAATCACAAAATGCTCTTGATTATTGAGTGTTATGTTATATAGCAAGTAGTTCAGTTTCATTCAGCAAGCCAGTCAAGCAGTGCAAGGTTTCAAATTTCAGTCATTAATGTTATGCCAGACCAGGGTTCTTTATAAGTATCTGGCTCCTAGAAGGAATTAGATGCTAAGACAACATTTGGGGATCATTGTCTACTTGAAGAACTCTCCAAATAAAAAGTGTAGCCTTCTGTTATTGAAGTTTTAGGGTTTACACATAGAGAATTTCCCCAGAATTTCTCAGTCAGTCTTTCTCTTAGAAAACTATAAATATAAGTAAATAAGGAACATGCTAATAGCTTCACCTACGACTCGGTTCAGATTGTGAAATAACTGGGATTTAGAGGATCTTAAGTAATTTGTACTCTTTCTACCTGGTCACAGCTAGGTACTTCTTATTCTATTAGATATTTTTATTAATTTACTAAAGTTATGGTATTTATCATCAGAATCATCTGAAATTGGAATTAAAATGACCAGTCTTTATGATCGATGAGGGGTTTTTTAGAATAATGAAGGTGTATTGAAAATTCAATAAATGTCTTTTTTTCTCCAATTCCATCATGGAGGATTGCAAATCTCTTTCAGATAAGCAAAGGATTAAAACTGATACACTGAAATCAGAAATTCTCTTGTATGTAATTCTCAGAAGAATAAGACATAATTTGATGAACCAAATTTAATTATCTGTACAAAGTTATTATAAATAGTGTAATGAGAATCAGTTTAAGTGCTGATCCCACTAAACTTCAAGTGCTTTTCCTTCTGGTAACTTCTTAACAGCAGTAAAAATTCTTCAAGAGAAACAACTGTTTATTTTACCTGTGCTAGCCCATTATCTTTGTGTTATTCCTTGAGTTTGCCTTCCTTTAAATTATAGCTTCTGTCATTACAATCTAGTAAACAATTGTGTTGATAGTAGCCCTACAAGAAAATAGAAGCCAGCCTGATCTAACAAGAACAGCTGTGAGTTTTCCAAACCTAAAAAGACCTTGATCTTTTATATTCTGGAAATACAAAAAACTTGCCCAGAAATATTGTAGAATTAAGCTCCAAAAACAATACATCATTTCTTTAAGTAGAATATTTATTCCTGAGGGCAACTTGTTCGGAATGAAAGTTTGCACATCTATAGGCAAGACACAAACCTGTTGTAAAGTTCCTATTTTCCTGCCTTTTTATGCATTTTATGCTTTCCAATAGAGGTTTGACATTTCTTTGTGGGAGCACCTTGCTTGTGAAGGTGTTCTTGCCAAACCACTTTAGATGGCTTAAAAATGTGTTCAGTGTTGAGTTGTTAAGCAAGTCTTCATTAATCCAAAATGTGATTTATTTTTTAGTCTTCATGTGTTTTGCATCATGCTATCAGCCATTCATCTAACCAGCTCTGAGCTAGGGCATAGCAACAGAATGTTAATTAAGGGGATTTTTTTCCGGAGGAGAATGTGGGACTTTGCAGAGCTCCAGGAATAAGCCTTTCTCCTTAGTCCAAAATCACAAATTAAAATTTCCTATTTATTCTTTTCTCGTATAACCTTCTCCCACCCCAGCACATCTTGCTTATTCCTGAAGAGGACGTTTCTTATGAAAATGTGTTCAGTTATACAGCTAAAGGATGAGGTGCAAATTTCATCTTGCTATACAATTGAAATACTTAACATATCAGAGCTGTTATTTGCTGAAATATTGAAATCTGTTCTGTTTTTCCTGCACAGTATCATGATTTGAGTAAAAGATCTCAACCAGAAGGCATTAATAGGATTAATTCAAATTATGACCTTAAAAATAGTAATTTCAGTAGCACTCCATATGTTTCTAACTCTCTCCACTAGATTGTGTTCTTAACTGGCTTTGGCTATGTTTACGTGGACGTTGCCCATCAATGTGGAACAATAGTCATAACTTTGGCCCCAGAAGGAAGAGCAGGACCCGTCGAGATCAACCTCAACAGGTACATAAAGCACATAAAAGATGATAAAAAGCATTGCCAAACAGTGCTGAGAGGTCAGGCAGCTTTCTAAGTGTTAGCTGACTTACGAACTTTGGCTTAACTGTTTATTTTGTTTAATACTGCTGCATGCTCCGTGGCATATGTTTAGACCATACGTTATGCTTTGTATATCACAGTTAAAAAAGGACAATCTAACGTCAAAAGTCATGTCACTTTGGGGTAAACACTAGATGTCTAATACAAAAAGAAGTCCTTAGTAGTTCATTAAAAAAAGACTTTTTCCATCATATTTCATTTTGAGTGTGTTCATCAGTTTAAAATGTATTTAGCTAGGTCCTGCCATCCGTAACGTACAAGCTCCCACTAAAATTTGTAGGAAGCTTGATGTGCAAGGGCTGCAGAAATAGTCTTACAGTCAGTAATTAACTGTACTTGATTATAACACTCTTCTTCAGAAGACTTCCCTACACACCACATCCTGATCCTCAATTCCATTCAAGTGCAATTACAACACTACCTATTTCTAAGATGCAGAATGCCTGGCCTCCAGCAATGCCGTTACAATTAGAGTGGAATTTGTTGTACTGTTTTTATTTGTGCTGTAATTAAGTATTAATCCCCAAGAAACTGGTCATCAGCGGTACATAATAGCCCACTTGCTAGTTAAACTTTGCAATGGGCAGTTAACACTGGAGGGGGGGAAGCCCTCAATGCCATCGATATAAAAATGCTGTGGTGGCTTTGTTGGAGGGCACTCGCTGCGTGTGACATGAAATGAGTTATCCATAATAGTAATCTTCAGTAGTGGCTCCCAGAAAATGTTGTAACAGCTGAGGCTATATGTGAATTATCAGAAAATTGTATTGTTGTCTGCTTTAATATCTGGCTCTGTTGCAAATGCAGTAGGGAATTACTGTGTATACAGAGACGTTCCTGTCCAAACTGTCCTGTTGATTGATAAGAGAGAGAAACCTGGCATAGTTGTGTAATATCCCATTTCTTAGAAGACCTCCTGGGTCACCCACTGTGGTGATTAAGGCTGCCAGATCCTATTAACATTAACAAGACTTGCACAATGAGTTTCCTATGTATTAAAGAGAATGTCTCTGCTGATAGCTTTCTGAGAAAGCAAGATGCCAGGTGAACTCAAAATACGTGAAGTAACGAAGCTTCTTTTCCCTCCTGTCTAGAAGTCAAGAGCAGACCTTGTCAGTGAAAATGTTCATCAGTCAGTTAAGTCTTGCTGCATTTGATGATATTACAAACCACAAAGTGTCATCTGAACTTCTGCGTCTCACAGCAGACAACGTTTTCCTCCACATGGCCCCAGCCACCAGCTACCTGAGACCCCTGTCACAGGAGTTCCAGCAGCACGTCATGGAAGGCCTCCCACAATTTCATAGTCTCCAAGTGTATTGTGAAGACTTGCAACTGGACAATCAGTTGTACAGCAAATCCAATTTCCATTTTGCAGTCCTGCTGTGCCAAGGAGAGAAAAATGAGACTGTGCAGTGGTCCAGAGTCAACAACCTCATTGTTTGTAACAAAGATTTGGAAAGCTATAAGGAAAACTGCTTTATAAAACTCTGCATTGCTTTTTCCGAGGAAGAGAATTTCATGTTTCACGTGAATGACTTCAGCTTTGAGCTCAAACCTGCTAGGCTGTATGTGGAAGACACTTTTGTTTACTACATTAAGACTTTATTTGATACGTATCTCCCAGAAAACAAAACCTCTTGTCAATCCATGAATACTTCAGATACTATCCTGATACTGCCTGAACAAGTGAGAGAGCATGCAAGAGCTTTAGTCAAGCCAGTGAAGTTAAGAAAATTAACAATACAACCTGTTAATCTCCTTGTCAGTATTCATGCTTCGTTGAAATTGTATATAGCCTCAGATCACACCCCTCTCTCCTTCTCTGTGTTTGAGCGAGGACCCATCTTCACCACTGCCAGGCAACTTGTCCATGCCTTGGCCATGCATTATGCTGCTGGAGCACTTTTCAGAGCAGGTCAGTACTTTTCCATAACATGTAACATTTTTATTAGGTACCAGGATTCTGTGATTGTCCCTCAAGCTGACTAACCTAGATGTTAGCCATACAATTGTTGTTTTCCTCAAACACCGTTTGATAATGATATTTTCAGACACCTTTCATGTCCTGCCATACGACCGAAGGGAAATAAAATGGCTGAGCAGACACCAGTGAAGATTTGTAAAGTTGTGCTAAACATTAGCCAGCTGCCTGAAGGCTTTACAAAACCCTGAACACAGCATAAAAATGTATTCTAGCTGGCTTAGGTTTTGTCATTTTATATTATAGCACTAGTCGGAATCAACCCACATTCCTCACATAAACTCCCCAAAACTACATTTAATCAAATTATTCAGCAAGTTGCTCTGCATTCAGAAGTAAATTATAGCCCTGAATGTTGTTTTGTTGTTAAAACTCCTTTTGGCTGCAGTTTATGATTAGGAATCTGTCTTTCTTCATACAGCCTTCATGCTAAACTGGCACACAGATGTTTGTTGTCCTTTGATCCAAGAACTATGAAGTTTACTGTTACTAACTTTTTTCCATATAGGATCAATAGTGAGCAATTAGTCTATTAGGTTAGCAGGTACATTCTGTTTCCCATAAATGTTAATTTAGAAATAAAGAAATTTAGTCCCTCCTGTGTCTTAGTGTGGAGCAGAATTTGTACCTGAGACAGGAAGAAGCTCCTCCGTGATCACACACAAGTCACGTACTCCACACTGAAACACGAGATTTATTTTCCTGCAATACTAATGGTCAGATTTTCTGAAATCCTGATGCTTCCATTTGTGCTGCAAGCATAACTGCGACCTGTTTTTTGTGCACAGTTTCCAAAATTATACACATGCATTTCAGGTATTTATAAATAGAGATGCTGATCTGCTCTTTCACTGTGTGCGTACCTGACTTGCATAGCTGATTATGGCAACTGTGTACACAGTTGTGCACCAGAACATTGTGCACCAATTCATTATTTCCTTGCATTATTTTGCTTGCAAAATTTGCAGGTTTTTCTTTTTACTGCTTCTTTGGCTTTGTTTTACAGTCAAATCCCGTAGTACAAAAGGGGAGATCGAGTTTCTTGCTAATTAAGAGTGAAACTGTGACCAAATATGGTCCACAGTGTGAATGTTTCTCCCACAACTGGCTAGAAGTGGCGATACAAGTGGTGATAGTCTACAGCAGGAAATTGGGGTTATACTGGCTTTTCATCCACAACATCCCAGGTGAGGCACATATGCTAGTTAAGGATTCCTGAGCCCGGTCTTGGTCTTTCCTCCTGTGCTACCCTTGCAGTGTGCAGCAGCGCACAGGCCACCCCTTGCTCTGGGCTCTTTCATGATGTACCTGAAATCAAGCAGGTTTCAATATTAAGAAATAAGGTTTGCTTCAGTGGAACTTCTCTTCAGGAAAATACATAAGCATATATTTAGTTACACTTAAATCCAACTCAAAGCACTAAAACTAAAATGTATTTTTGAAAGGGGTTACCATGATTAAAATGGTGAAATGTATTTGTTAATGTGTGCTTGGGCAAAGAAGACGCTTTATTTTCAAGAGTTTGTGACACTTGTCAAAAGGCTGACTGTGTCAACAAAGTTAAAAAGGAGGGAAAAAAATCAAGCCAAAAGCTTTATATAGTCTGCAAATTCTGACCCCTTTCCTCACCATCAGGTGAGCTACACTTCTTGCATCGCTCTCTTATGGAAGAGGACCTCACTCTCCTGCATTTTAACACATTAATCTGCAAAACGAGGGGTTGTTTGACCCGCTTTCTGCTCACCACTGCCCCATGCATAAGCCCTTGTCGCATCTGCACAAACAGCATTGCCATACGGCTGTGCCTTATGCTCGAAGCAGGATATAGTCTCATTTTGCCCTTCACTCTGTGCAAGACCATTGCTGCCCTGTGGGAGGGGGCAGGATTTGCCTCAAAGCCTACTAAAGGGAGCGTATCAGGCTGCCCCGTATGTTGCAAAGGAGCAACCAGAATCCATGTCTTGTAAGCAGTGAATGGGGCTGGAGAGCTCTGCTCAGATATGCTGATAAGCATTGCTTGTCTCAAATTAGCAAAACTTGCAATGGAAATCTCCCATCCTTTTCTAATTAAGTTGGCTTCTATTTAAAAGTTAATAAAATTCTATTTAAAAATATTACTGGTGTCAGCCAGATCTAACCCTATAGTTGCCTATAAAGAAAATGCAGTGGCTCTCTGCTAATATAGTCATAATTATTTCATTTTAGTGAATATAATTACTAAGCATACTTTGGGAAATGGTAACTTGACATGATACTCTATTTCTGCAAAGTAAAATGCAGCACAGAGCTTGTGAATTGAGGGATTTCTCCTGATTCATCATTTTCCTATTCCAGACTTACTCTCACACATTCTTCCTTGGGTTGGGTGGTCCATGGCGGCGGTGAGGAGCCATTAGTTTTGCTCTGAGCATTGGCCAAGGAGAGTCACCCTTGCTGCAGGTTGCACATTCCTCCCTTGTGCTCTCCAAGGGTGAGCACGCTCCTTCCAGAACTTCCCAAAACTGACTGGCCACAGGCCAGGGCCAGACTGCAACAGCACATCCCCAGGATACCCAGCAACCCCTCAGCTTTGTGTTTAAGTGGTTTCATTCCTGGTTTTATTCCAGTTTTCATTCCTGAACACACTGGCTGGCCAAGCAGGTGAGTGGAGTCTCCCATGTCCCAGCCTGGCAGTGCCCGCAGGGCAGCAAGGCGTTAATCTGCGGTATTGTGCAGCCTTTTTCCATTACCTCATGCTGTCCTATCACTGCCTCCAGACAAGGAATGCCAAGGACATTTGGAAACAAAACAAAAAAGGCTGTTTGTAAAGGATTATTGCAACATTATTGATCAGAAAAAGCAGAAAGAGCATCTCTTCCATCTGTACACGCCTCCCCGCCCCTCCAACTTTTCATCACTTCACACAGTGGCAAGGATAATTTGTTAAAAATACTGCAGTGAGGGAGTCGCAGGCCCAGCTTGGAGTGCTGGCTTCCCCTGGTCCCCGGCAGCGAAGGGCTGCCAGGGGGACACTCCTCCCCGGGGCAGGCACCATGGGACCACAGCGCTCGTGGCCACTCTGCTCATTGTGTTGCCAGTAGTACTTGTTTTTTGTTTTCATAGTCCATCCCACCCTCTCCCTTATGTCCACTGCAGGTCCCGCTCTTTATACTACATGAACTGGAGTTCTCAACCTGCCAGGGCTGAAATGTGGGACAGATTCAACAAGAATAATAGATTTTCCGGGAGCTTATAATGATAGTATGAGATTAATTCATTTCATATGAGTAACATTTTCTCTTCTGTTCAGTTTCATGATTCAGCCTTCCACAGGAGTGACTGGGAGGGGTTACTAGAAAACAAGAAAAGCATCTGGATAGCAGGAGTTTGCAGCGATGAGATGGGAGTGAGGAGGGCAGCGCAGATCAAGGGCCCTCAGCGGGAGAGCAGGAGTCCAGTCTGTCCACCTTTCAGTGTCCTGGCCCTATTGCGCCTTGTGTCGCTCTGACAGTGCCAGTTGAAATTCAGGGTACCGGGGCTCAAAGACCAGGCAGCTCCCATTTAAGGTTTATTGCCATTTCTGAATCGCTCTCTCTGGGCTGCTGAAAAAAAAAAGTTATGCAGCACTATTTCCCTAATAAATCTGCTGCCAACCAGGCTGAGAAAGACAAGACCTGCAAACAGCTTTCCAGCAACACATTGCTGCGCGCTCGGCCATCCAGCAAGCTGCTGGCAACCCTGCGTTTATATAGGAAACCAGATCCACAGATACCTCTCCTGGGATATGCATAAGGAATACTCCCCTATGAGTAACCTAATCAGCATGTAGATGTCATTGCTGTTTACACAACTGTACTGAGCAAAAGACATTTGTCTGGCTTTCACTGCACTCTGAAAGAAAATGATCAGCTTAGAAGGGCTGGGGTGGATTTAAAATAACTTCTTAAGCACTTGTCAAAAATCTGCATCCCCTTTCCTAACACTCCATCAAGCAATTGACCTCCACACTCCGGTAAAGCAGTACATTGTATCAGTGTAAACTCCCTGTCACGATTCTATCACATAAGGATGTGAAGTCACAACGCTGCCTTATAGCGTCTAAAACCAACCCAGGGATCTGAACTTGCAGTCCCGTTCCTGCGTAGCTGTGAGGCTCTAGCATGCGCCTCTCTAGCACACTTTTAGCAGAAATACGGGAAGCTCCTGGAAGGAAGTCATTCTAAAGCTATTTGTGAGTTTGCCAAAAGGATTTCTTTGATTTACGAAGTATGAAAGATTGCCATTTCTGAATTCATAGTGGATGAGTTATTTCCCGTGTTTTGCTCAAAGGAAGTTCATAATGCAACGAATTCTAGTGTGAAAAGAGAATTAAGGAATAACCTTTTCACAACTGCTGCTTCTGCAGTTTTTGCAGCCGTAACATGTGTCTTGTTTCTCCACACAGGCTGGGTTGTCGGATCATTGGAAATTCTCGGAAGTCCAGCTAGTCTGGTGAGAAGCATAGGGAACGGCATAGCTGATTTCTTTAGGCTCCCCTACGAAGGGCTGACCAGAGGCCCAGGAGCATTTGTCAGTGGAGTTTCCAGAGGAACAACATCATTTGTAAAACACATTTCCAAAGGTAGAACTTTCACTTTGTTGCTCCAACTACTGCTTTGTTGTCGTGCGTTGTTAAAGGATGTGTTAAAGTTTTAAACAATATTGCTTGCAGCTTTGTTTGGCTTGCTAGGCTGCAGTGAAATGCTGGGAGGGTAACAAAGCTCATATATAACATCTTATGTATTAAACAGATCACCGCTTAACTACAGTGCATAAGAATGCTTCAGAAACTTCAGAATTTTAAACCTCCCAGTGGGAAATGGAGGTTGGCTCAGCCAGTATTTCGTGTGATAACTGCAGAAATATTAAAGGTGTTCTGTACTTCTGCTAACCATCAGAAATTCTACACTGTGTCGCCTCATCATATTTATTATCTCTTTTTTTCTTAAAAAAAAAAAAAAGAGTAGATACAGTTGTCATAACTGTTTAAATACGTGGATAGGTTTTGACAGCAGGGCTGGGCTGGCCTGAGAACAGGAGCAGCGTTTGTTTTGCGAAGTCTGTATAAACAGTGCCATCGCGTGGCTTCCGCCGCCCGGGAGAGACCGCGGCGTGGCTGGCCCCACCACCCGCCCCCCGCGGGGAGAGCCCGCGGCGTGGCTGCCCCAGCCGCCCGCTGCTGCTCCAAGCTCTCTCAGGACGCGTCTTGCTGGGGTCCTTCTGTAAATATTTGTTTACCTTTCCATCACACACACACACACACACACACCCCCGCCCCATTTATGTTAGCCTTACAGGAGTTTGGGAACTGGGGAAGGATGTTTGGATGAGTTGCTTTTCCTACCGGCCAGGCAAACCTTGTTCAGGCTAATGTAAAAGGCGTGACGTGGACCGTGGAAGCAGTGTGGTGATGCTTAACAAACAGTAAAGCATGTTACACATGGGCGACTTTTCAATTCACTTGCTGTTCTGCTCGTCAGCTCAGTATTTCAGTGAGGCATAGATCGTCTCCGTGTTTTAAATTAAAGCATTTTGATCCAGACCCAAATGTGTATCTCCATGTATTTAGGTACACTGACGTCAATTACCAATCTGGCAACAAGTCTGGCTCGGAATATGGATAGGCTGTCACTTGATGAGGAGCATTACAACAGACAAGAAGAATGGAGAAGACAGCTTCCAGAGAGCCTGGGAGAAGGACTGAGACAGGGGCTCTCTCGTTTAGGCATTAGCCTTCTAGGTAATGTACTATTAAATATCAAGTTGAGTAATAATAGTGTTTTCTGATCTGCTCACCAGCCTTTCTACATGTGAGTTATAATTGCAAAATCTGTTTGTTTTGGTGTTTTCTTGTGAAATAACCTCACAATATCTATATGAGATACTGTTTCTTTTCATCAAGGTTTACTGACTTTTGAATATGTTTTTGGCTGATAAAATAATTGCAGATATAGAACGAGTTTGCCCTTTCATTGTAACATAATATGTTCTTTGGTACATGATGTATATCTGAGGAGAAAAGAATAATTCTGCATTGGGCAGGGTGACTTGTAACTAAGTCAGCACAAAGACGTCACCACGCTGATGTTTACTTTCCTATCAGTTATCGGAATGCCTTCCGAACCTGCTTGGTTTTGCTGCACTGTATCGGCGATTGGTGGTTTTGTTTGAAAACCACTTGAACTTAGTGCAGATGTTAAGTAAGCTTTGATGAGGAATTCTGCTTTAACAAAGAGACCCAGATCATCCTGGTTCAGTGTACTTGTATTCATCAAGCAGCCAAGTGGCTTGGTTAGAAGTGAAGATTACTCTGGTCATTTCAAAATAGTACCCAAAAATTTGAAAACTAACCCGCACTGGAAAAAAAATCTCTGCAAGAAGTTTTGCAGTAAGGGACTGGATTTTCTAGGTTACTTCTACTTGTCCCACAGCAGAGGAATGCAGAACTGTATTGTTTGGCAGAGTTCCTCAGTACGTATTAGAGAGTATGAATCCCTTAGAGATCAAAGTGACCAAAAGTAGTCCAGTGCAAAAGGTTAGAAGAGCTGAAGCTTGAAAGGATTTGTCCTCTTTCCTAACCTTCAGTAGTGTACACAACTCCTAAATTTGCAACCGCAACCCTGAAAGCCCCAAAGAGGAAGTGGTAAAAATGTTACAAGTTTGGGTTAAGTTACTGGAAATTATTTTAAGCAATAACATTAGATGATGTGAAGCACTGTCATTTGATAATGCCTGTAAACCAGCAAGCGAGTGTCCTGGGAGAAATGTGCATAAAGGAGAAATTTAATATATTAGTAGCTACTATCCCAATAGTAAGCTGTTACTGGTGTTGCAAATCAAAGTCAGTTTGGAGAAGGTTTTATTTTTCCTTCTTGTTTTATTGGGCTAAGGGCAGTCAGGTTGAGTAGCTGGATGAAAGATTATACGTTTAGAAGCACCGTGTCAGCCTGGTGTATGTGCGTTGGTGAAATGGTTTGGTGATCTTGGCTCAGTTATTAGTAAGACAGTGGGATGATGTGGCTCTCCCCGTACCAACACACCAGAGCCCTTCAGAGTTAAAAGCATCAGCTGTACAGCCTGAACTAAAGAGCAAAACTTTGTAGCTTTGGCTGTAGCAAGGCAAAGTTTCTGCTGTTCAGGAAAGCTGGGAACTCGTAACATGCGTGCACAAATACGCCGTGGCTGTACCTCCCTGCGCACAAGGCTTCGGTTACTTGCGGAGCATGCCTGATTTAAAACCAAAACCAAAAAAAAAAAAAAAAAAAAAGTTGCAATTTCAGTGCCCCTGATTTCCTAAGAAATCAGACTTCATGTTAGAAACTGAGAACTTCATATTAGCATTTAAACAGAGCTCCTCTGAAAGCTAGGATCTTGTTCTTACTCCCACTGTTATTATTTAGAGTTTCCTCCCTGCTAAATGCCACCGTTTTCAGCAGTGGAGGCAACGAAGCACCTCGATAAATAGCTACGGTTACTGTGTAGCTGGACTTGACAAGTATGGGACCTCTCACTAAGGGAGGAATCAGAAATGTTGCAGTGAATTTGTATCACGCATAATTTTTTTATTGAAACCTGATTTTTTAAAAGCATGTTTTCTCTGTATACACAGCAGCATTCATGTAAATTGTGCCAAGACCTAAATTATGAATAGACTTACATTTCAATTTTTACAAGCGCATTAGAAAGCCGTTTCTGTCCTGATGATTTAGTTTAAAGAATATTGTGGCTTCCCCAAAAAAAACCAGTCATAGTTGAAGGAAGGTACCACCGTTCTGCTTTCTTTCACGAGCACTTCAGAGTAAACATGAACATGCTTACTCTAAAAACACTTCCAGGTTCTTCATACATAATGAAACGAAGCGGAGCTGCTATGTTATTTTACTTCACAAGGATGAAGAGATCAGATGAGTACAGGAATGCAGAGAGCGAGACTCTTTGAAGCCATAATTTCTGTGGCTTTCTTATTGTAAAATTGAGAAGTGTGAAAAAGATTTCTAGGACAGTCAGAGTACTAGCATGTTTGTAAAAGCCATCTGACTCATGCAAGCAGCTTAAAGAATTGCAAATGTAGATTTTGTGCCCAGGCACAGGCATGCAAGAGCCCTCAGTTCACCGATACATTGTGGTATCTACATAGAAAGAGCTGCAGTTCTGATTTTTCTGAAAATCTGGCTCATGGTGGCCCTGATTCAGCAAAGCACTTAAGCACACGCTTAAGTGCTTTGCTGAGTCAGGGCCAAAATCACGTACTCTTGTCTCCTTCTCAGTGCAAGTTGTTCCCTGTGGTACATTCTTAAGTGCTTTGTCCTGTCTCGTTTTAAATGACTCAAGCACTGTCAGGGTGTTGTTTGATTTGATTGTTATCTTTGGCAGGCTGTAGTCTTCTTTTCTAGTTTGGGGGAGACTTCAGGGTCATTTTAGTAACATTTGTGCATGAAAAGAAGCAAAAGCTTATGATAGGTGTGGTTTTTTTCTTTTATATGATTAGACAAAAATATTTAGATGATCGGCACTCCCCACCAAGGAACTTTCTTTTGCATTTTGTATGACAGGGTCAAGCTTAAAATAATAATTTATGACCGTGTAAAAGAGAATACTGCAACTATAGGTTTTATTTCCAACTACTGGTCCTAGTGAAAAATATTGTATTGAAGTAGGTCCCTTTGGGAAGTTGAGCATTTCTGAATAACCAAAAAGCTGACAACTATTAGAAAAGCCATTTTTCACAATGGCAAAGAAATGCTCGCTATTTCTGTTACTCCTTCCTGCTTTTGTGGAAAACGAGTTGATAGCAATACTGACCGACAGTGTAACAGTGCTGCTAGAGAAGGTAAAGCCTGGATTTCAGAAGCTCAAATTTTTGTTTATAAGGGTGGTGGTTGTTGTTCTTGCTGTGGAACAATCACTGAATCGGGGCCACTCTACGTGTGCCTATCTACAAGCAAGATACTAAGAGCGAGTGCTAATCCTGAAGGTGTGTGCTATTGCAGACACTTATTCTGCAAACATACTAACGCATGCCAACAGGTGCTTTTAGCTGTATTTTTATGTGATGATTGCTGTGATGAGACTACACTTCAGCCATATTTTCAGTATGAAACATTTGCAGCAACCCTGAATACGACAGAGAAAAGAAAAGGAAGCAAAATGGTTTCAGCTCGGCTGGCTTCCAGCCTCATGGCAAAGCATGGCCAGTTTCTCCTGGTGGGGGTTTTTTTTCCAATTATTTCTTGGTCCGAAAGAGTTTGTCACAAGCAATCCGAGCTTTGCTAAGTTCTGTAGGCCGTGCTGCCTTCACCAAACATTGTCAGTCTGCGCACGAACCAGTTGCTGCCTGTAATCAAATTCTTCTTGAAGTAATATAGTGATATACTCTGAACTATCTGAATTTTGTAGTTATCAAAGTATCTTTTTTATGGTTACTGAGCAACATGTATTAACCAGAATGCACCCCAGCTGATGTTTAGCAGATGTTACGGTGTTGCTGGAACCTCTTTGGTCCAGTAATGGAAGAATATGTTTTTGTTTTGTTGCTTTGGTGTTTAATTTTATTGAGGTTTTCTTTATACATACATAATCTGTGTGTACATATGTGGACATGCATATAAAATTGAATGCCTAGGGTAAGGAAGGAAAGAAAAATGGAGAATGGTTTCATTTACAAAAGAAAAATGGGCAAGAGACATTACGGAGAAGGGACAAGGGCAGCAGTAGGACACCATAGCTGTCTCTAGGCTGTGAGAATGAGAGTGGGAAAGGAGGAACCACTACATGTTCCTCATGCTTTGCTTTTCTGATACCCTACTGAAACCTGGGGCAAGAGACCTTCTGTGGTAAGTCCATCCAGCATGGTGCTCCTACCAACTTTATGTTAGAAAGAAAGAAGCGACATGGATACTAGGGGACATCTGCTTCATGCGGTTTCTGGTGCTAGGAGATGCAGTGTACCTCACGTGTGTGTCACCGTTATCTCACTGCTGTTGGGTTTTGAAGTTGCTCAGCCTTTGACCTACTGGGGTTTTTTCCTTTGCCCACACATGATGCACACAGGAAAGGAGCTGCACAGATTCAGCTTCCCCATGCAAGGGCAGTAGGACCGGCCACTCTTTAATGAAAGGAGTAAGGTTATAGTTTATTATGTGATTTGTGGGCATAGAACTCATTTGTGAATGAGTTCTATCAGTGAATTGCAATTCAAGATAAGAGATTACAAAGGGTGAGCAGAGAGGCAAGAGAAGATCGTTGGTTATAGTTTTTGCAGGTATAAAGACAGGACTTGCAAAAGGATTTGAGGTATGGAAAGGCAATGACTTCACAGACAACTTCAGAACATGCATAAAATGACAGAATAACAGAAAGTGTGGAAGTACTAAACAACTGGCTAATTAAGCTATATATTATTTGGGGTACTATATAAATAATCTTATATAACTCAGTCACAGCAGTTTCCATTCTGTTTCCTTGTCCTCTGGGCCTAATTCTAGCTGAGAAGTGCCTGGAGCATACCACAGGTCCTTTGGAGTAGGCTCTTATTTATTATTACCTTATAACATTGCTCGAGTGTATTGCAGTAAATAATTTACTAGTGCGAGCACTTAGGTGGATTACATTTAATAAGGCAATAACTTCTGTTCTGAAAGTGCAGTTGCTGTGGATGACCTTAATAGATAGGGTGAAGGAGGTCACAGGGTAATGTAATACTGTAACTTAGCAGAACACCAAGTATTGTTTTATGCCTTCAAATGCATCAGCATTGTACAAAAGAAAAGACTGGATGAACAATCCCAATTGTGTAATGCGGTGTTGGGGTATTATTTTAGTCAAGCAGCAGGAGCAGCTGGTAAGTACTATGAAACAGAATTGAATTGAAAATTGTATCATTTCCATGGCATGGCATGAAGGAAGCTTCATGGTCTTTGTGGTACACAGACTGAACACTCAGCTGCATGCTCAGCTTCAGTGACTGTGGTCAATAAAAACTGGGTATCACATTAAAAATAGACCAGCATTTACTGGGGAAATACTATACATTTATCAGTAAAGGGTACACATTTAGAAGCTGGAAGCAATCTCTCTAAGAGGAGACGGAGGCATTTATGGAGGATGCAAGTTTCTTGAATTGCCAATGGACTGTATCCCAGGGACAAGGATCTGGGGAAATGTATGCTGCGTCCCATCCTCGTCTCTTGTTTGGACAGAATACCAGTGTACAAGTACAATATTAGTTCTTGTTCGAAGTCAGCAACTTCTCTGTTTATCCATCCAGTAACGGTAACTAAAACCATCTGAAAACCAGTTAGCAGCTAGCTGACTAGTGCATGTCACGCTGGTAAACACATGGGACCAAATACCTTGGCTGTGATTGTCCGAATCTGTGGAATTACGCCTGGATTTGCTTCCGCATACAAAGCAGAATCTTCAAAGATGTCTGGGTTGCAGTAAAAATGCCTGGTTACCAAGGTGACACTCGGTCCTACTCCTTAAATCATTGTTTTATCTTGATATTTGCAGCTGAAGGTGCAAACTGAGCTAGCCAAGGAGCCTGCAAACTTGCTTTTTGCTGAGCAAAGAACCTCAGATCAAGCAAACCATTTTCTAATTGATGTCACTTTGTCCAATCCTTGCACTCTTAGCGATTTCCAAATAGCTTATCTATCAAAATTACAATAACTAGAGACATGTCTGTGGTTAAGTGGCTAGAGTAAACTCAAGATCAAAGAAATGTACCACCTCACATACCTGTTTACATTTAGAAAGATTTAAGTTGGAGTTCTCTGTTGATACTAAAAGCTGGGAAGGTCACTGTGTCACTTGTAAAAGTTTGACCCATGAACATTAAAGTAAAATATGATCGTTTTCACAAAAAAGTAACAAAAAGTCTCAAAGTCTAATTCTGCTAATCTTAGTAATATATCAAAAGTTGCATTAGCTTATGAACATTTCTGGCAGTGGAAGAGGATATAAAAATGATCTATTGAATACAGGCAGTTTTTATTCTCATGAAGTGAGTCTCAGGCTTACGTGAAAAATCTCATTTCCATAACAGCTCAAGTCTTCTAAAAACGGATGGATTTTATTCTGAGCCCAACATTTTCAGAATTACTACAAAGAATGAGCTAAATTACACTAACTCAGCAAAAGCATTTAGTGAAAATAGTTGAAAGATGAAAGCATACCGTCAAGTTAAGTGATGTGAATGTTTAGAAAAGTAAAATACATTTTTTAAAAAAAAATGAGTTGAGATTTAACTTAAAATGAAGCTAAGGTATTGTTTAGCTAATCAGTCGCATGCTAAATAGCTGTATAAGAAGGGTGGGATACAGTCTCTAATCCAAGCAACATTCAGGTCCAGTAGTAAGATTTCCTCTTATTCTGGGATATTCAACTTCACTAATTACTGAGAACTCTTGTTTTTTCAGGTGCAATCGCTGGGATTGTGGATCAGCCGATGCAGAATTTTCAGCGAGTGTCTGAGGCCCAAGCTTCAGCCGGGCATAAAGCCAGAGGGGTCATCTCGGGTGTGGGGAAAGGAATCATGGGTGTTTTCACAAAGCCCATCGGAGGGGCAGCTGAGCTCGTCTCCCAGACCGGTTACGGTGAGTTTCTCTATTTCCAACATCTCCATTTAAATTTTAAAATGCTCTTCAGATACAACCTGCTATGTCTTACATATCCAGCTCAGTAGCTGTGTGACTTAGAGAAAGATTTATAAATGCCAGCGCTGAATAGTGATAAATGTTGTGCTCGTTTTCTTAAAAACCCTCGTGTTGTGCTTCTCTGTTCTGTTACCGATCAGTGTTGTACAGCCACAGAAACACAGAATGCAGAAAGCATGAAGTAATTCTTGGAATACAGTAGAATTAGTTACAGAAACATATGTGCTTACAAAAGAGTTTTTGACATAAAAGTATTAGAGCAACACTATATCTAATTAGAGTGTTATTTTGAGATTGCTTTGTTACAGCAAGGAAAGAGTTGTGCTCTATACAAAGAGAGAGTTATGTTCCTGGGAGAACGAAGTGAGTTATGTAGTGAGACCATCCCCTTTAAACTGGAGAGCTGTGAGAAGACAGTCCCATTTTTGGATGCACGGGTAACCTTTTAATGACCAGAGGATGGTTTTCCAGCTAGACTGAGCACTTAGCGACAGTGGTGGTGAATCCCTTCAGATTCATATGAATACTTCTGGACAACCAAAAACTGTAAAAGATAAAAATAAAATATCAGAATACACTAATTTCTTTGTTTCCAGTATCAATAAACACCAGGCCTGCTGGCGACAGACAGGGTA